AATTTTACAGTATCCAGATTTTGAACAGCCATTTATCCTGACCACCGATGCCTCAAATGGCGCAATAGCCGCTGTATTAAGTCAAGGAAAATTAGGTTCTGATTTACCGATAGCTTACGCGTCTCGGTGCTTAAATAGAGCAGAAATGAACTACTCTACTACTGAAAAAGAGTGTTTGGCGGTTGCCGTTTTCACGAAATATTACCACCACTACCTCTACGGTAGAAAATTTACCGTAGTCACTGATCATCAAGCTCTCGTTTGGCTCCATAATACACGCGACCCATCTTCGCGTCTTGTTCGATGGAGATTGAAGTTATTAGATTACGATTATGAAGTAAAGTACCGACCTGGAAGGGTAAACTCTAATGCCGACGCTCTTTCTCGTAACCCTGTGGAAACAAAAGAATCAGAGGAAAAAATTGCTAGCTTCCCAATCGTGACTGTAAAGAAAAGACGAGGTAGACCACCGCGAGAAGTCACACCCATCCCCGCGAGCCCTACCGAATCGCAAATGGTAGAAGAATCAGGAATCGCTGATAGAGTTAAGCAACGCAGGCGAAACAATGAACCACGGTATTACTCATCTTACTCTTCAGATGATGAAATCGACAGGTGCAATGTGTCGGGACGCCAAACAATGCATCAAAAGAAAACAAGAAAAAGATTGATACGATTTCCAGGCGATGACGATTATCTACCCCCTCCAATCGCTCAAACAATCTCTTCACCTCCTCAATTAGACGAACCGGTAGTATCATTACCTCCCGCGCAAAGCGACTCAGACAGTGATAGTAATGATAACACATTGATAGATATGAACGAAACGGTTATCCCTGTCGAATCTGTTCTCGAAGATACGTTGATAAATTCACCCTCTCCAGATTTACCGTCCAAAACACCCTTGATCATACCTTCAGTACCTCTGCCATCTCAGAACGCTAATGTAAAAGAATCAAAAATTTTAGGATTGTACGAATCAATACCTCCACCAGAAAGAGAAAGTAATTTGACTACTTCACAACCACAGGAGGTCCAGACCGATCGCTCTACAAATTCTCCTGTGGGGTTAATCATAAAAACTACGCGAGATCCCCTCACGCTATCAAGGGACAACATTGCTCATTTCTTATCAGCAGACTGCACCTTTGGTACCACATCAACACGTACACTAATAGATATTGGATTAATTAATCCTATTAACATCAAATCTCGTGAACCAAAAAAGGGTCAGGTTATTGTCACTCAAACGGGAAAATCGCTTGTTTTTTCGATCTTCGTAAAAAATAAATTTTTTGATAAAATTAACGCGGAAGACCTTCTTTTGGGAATTTCCAGTCTAAAAATGGCTGTCGAGAAAACTGGTATTAACTCACTTAGGATGTCTTTAGTTGAAAACGATCTCGAGAAATTACCTCCATTCACATTGCGCAATACAATCCAACATGTGTTCACTCACAGTAATGTAATTTTCACGCTGTGTACAGGAAAAATCCAAGTACCTCCCGAGGATATGCGAAAAGCTATTATAAGTGAATATCATTCTAGTCTGGTTGGAGGACACAAAGGGGTAACCAAGACATTCCGGTTAATAAGGAACCGTTTCGTTTGGCCTGAATTGAAAAAGAATGTAGAGAACTTTGTTAGAACTTGTATTAGTTGTCAGCGTCAAAAATTAGTACGAATTAAAACGCGTCAACCAATGGTCATTACTGACACCCCGGCAGATGCCTTTGACAAAGTTTCGATGGATCTCGTAGGTCCCTTACCTATCACACCTGATGAAAATCAGTACGTCCTGACAATACAAGACAATTTGACAAAGTATTGTCTGGGCTTTCCCATCAAAAACAAGCGAGCTTCGACAGTAGCAGACATATTTGCTCGGAAATTTATCGCTACGTTTGGTTGCCCACGCGCTATTTTGACAGATCAAGGTAAGGAATTTATAAATGATCTCTTAAGCAATTTAGCAACAATATTCAAAATTAAACACGTCACTACATCTGGGTATCACCCTCAAAGCAACGGAAGCCTTGAACGTAGTCATCAAGTGTTGATAGATTACTTAAAACACTATATAAATGATTACGAAGATTGGGACAGACTAGTCCCTTTTGCCATGCTATCGTACAATTGCGCAATACACGAAGGTACTCAATTTTCCCCGCATGAACTTATTTTCGGTAAAACGATGCGTATACCTTCCTCCTTTCCCCCTACCGAACAATTACAAACATATGGATCGTATCTTCAGGAAATGGTAACACATCTCGCTGACATTCGGTTGCGAGCGCGAAATAATCTAATAAATGCCAAGGAACGCTCTAAGAAACGGTATGATATTCGAAGCAACCCCAAAGAATTCAAACCAGGTGATCTTATATTAGTCTTATCCGAACCTCGAGATGGGAAATTGGGCGCGTATTATCACGGACCATATCCAATTGTCGAAGTATTAGATTACGAAACCGTGGTTTTTCTCAACGACGAGGGTAAACGAGTTGGCAAACATATAAACAAAATTAAAATCGCACATATCGACGAGTTGTCAGACAGTACTGACGGAAACGAAAGCGAAAATTAAAGTTATTAACACACAATGTATTTCCACAGCACCACAGTTATGTTAATCAAATCTACTGGCTACCTCCGATGACTAATAGATCAAATTTAGGTACAGAAATACTCTAGATCAACTGATGACTCCGGATTCAACGATTCGAGCTACATTCAATAACTCTCACATAACATATCCTTTTAAACTAATGCATGTTATCGTAAAAAAAAAAAAAAAAAAAAAAAAAAAAATTTAATTTTATAAATAAAAAAAAAATAAATAAATAAGTAGTTAATTAAATAAAATAAAAAAAACATATATATATATATATATATATATATATGTATCTATGCATATTCAATTAAAATTAAAGGGAGTAGGAAGTTAATAATAAAATGTTTTAATAATTGGTGGTGGAATAAATTAAATAAAAATAAAGATATATTTTAATTGGTGGTGGTATTTACATAATTAAACGACCTTATTGAAAGTTAAGAAAGAAATGGAAAAAACATACATGTGTACATATTCATATGTGTATATTTTTCCTGGATTTTTATAAAGAATGAAATTTATATTCAAAACTAATTGTAATAACGTAAGCTAAAATTAAAATTTACTAACATAATAGAGCCACGGGTCGGATAAATGTTTCGGAAAATAATCATTTGTTTCTTTTTCTCAGTCTTTACATATTAGTATACATTTCTCTATCCATGTATCGAATCTTTGATAATCGAAACCAAACGGGATTTGTGTGAAACTGCCCTGGTTATAATCACTAGTTTTAAGTGAGATGCACACACTGGCCACTGTGAGCCGAACGGGATCATCAACTTATGTGCACAGAACTTGAAGGACGTCACCACACGTACGACATTATATGTAACCCGTCTCACAAGTCAGTCCCTGCCATGCTCACAGGGATGGAAAATCGCCTTCAGCAATTTTCCATCTTAAGTAAGGGGATCTGTTACGTCCGGACGTGTCGGTTCGACCTTTGTTTATATTAAAATTTGAGAAAAGGAAACCAATGATGATATATAATTATTTATAATGATTATATATAAGCATGTGTGACAATGTTGATTGTGTGAGCTCACCGTATGTATGAATAAACTAACAAATTGTTTAATATAAGTTATATGTTAATAGTTAATTGTCTTCATTTTATATTTTACCAATATTTTAATAATAATTCCATGTTTCTCCTAATATAATGATATTTTAGCATTGTATGTGTACAAATTCAACAAATTTCAACAAATTCTAAATCATAAAAATAACCCTAAACTTAAAATCCTTGAAGAAGATTATTAAGAATTTGGGAATTTACGTATTATAAACTTATTATTCCAAGAGACGATTTAGAGAATGGACCATCTTGTCACTTCTTTTGAATTGGAGCCTTCTTAAGCTGGGTCCTCGTTTATTTTTCATTTATCAATTTTCCATCTACTAGAGTTTATTGCGGTAAACTCTATCATAAAAAAAAGGTGCACTCGAAACTCTAAAAAAAAATAACAAGACCGAGGTCTGTAACGCAGATGCTCGGTAATAAACTTAGACCCACAGTAATGAGTCATTTTGGGACCTAAACCCCACCCTCTGCATGATTTTTCTCCTCTTTTCCATTGCTAATTGCGATTGGAGGAAATTCTTTTTTGGAAGGGAGAAAATTACAAGGTAGGGATATGATTTTGGCAAATTTCAATCCTTGAGGCCCTCGAGTGTCACCTTAAGTCAGTATCTTTTTAAAACTCATAAGAGTAGTTAAAATAACGAGGTCTCTGTTTACGGGCCCCTTTTCAAGTTCTTGCTGGACTTTGTCCACCTTTTAAGAACCCCTGAAGTGCTCGTGGTCGGTCCTCTTTGTGTCTTCTTGATTTTTGCCCGTGATCTAAATAGTTCCGGTAGTTTAATTAAAATTAAAATAAATAAAACCCATAATCTTCTTCAAGGATATCGACGTCTATTGCTGTACTCATGGTATAGTAAGTAAAAATCTTAACTATTTTCAATGTTTTATTCGGAGAAATAGAGTTGTTTTAAATAAAGGCAGAATTTAAAATTTAATTGTTTTATTCCACGGTGTGGGTTGGTACTCCCTTTGAAAGAGTAAGGATCCACAGAGATATTAAGTAAAATATCCTCTTAAAGTTAAATAAATTAAAATTCTTGAACGTCAACTTCCGTGACGTAACACATCAAAAAGGATGGGGAAAAAAAATTAATTTTTTTATTAAAACAAAAAAAAAAAAAAAAAAAAGATATAAATCTAGAAAATATTCTGCTTGAGAAATCGATGAGAAACGCAATGAAAGAGACACTAAATTTTGATGATTTGTGGATTATAAACACGAAAATGCTCTTTTCATATATATATAATTATTGAATTAACAAAATTTTTAGGGAATTTTTTGTTTTTTTTTTCACGTACGATATTTAGAGTAACTTTCACCTTCCACGCTATCCACGATTTCAACTATAAATTTAAAATTCTTTAATTATTAACAATAAAATAAAATAAAGGAATTTGAACTTAAATTCAATTTAATTGAAATAATTAAAAGAATAATTAAAATAATTTATAAGTTTACGAATTATTATTATCAATAATTATAATTCGTTAAAAAAAATATAATATAGAATATAATTTAAATAATATATAAATATAATATAAATATAATTTAAATATAATATAAATATAAGATAAATAGAATATAAATAGAATATAAATATATAAATAATTAATATAAAAATAATATTACATTTATAAGAAATATTATCGTTAATTATTAAAATTATTATTTATTTTCACTTTAAATTTAAAAATAATATTAAATAATAATTTTACTGCAATTAAATCATCATTAAAATTATGATTAGCAATTCATTAAATTGATACTTACTCAGAGCTCTGGCATGTAATGTGACCAAGAAAAGGACACACGCCGTTAACCACATGTTCTCTATTTTTTTTTTCAACTATCTGAAAAAAAAATTCCATAATTAACTTTTTTTTAAATTTTAATTAAATATTAATATTAAAGTCGTTGACATTCTTTTTCTTTTATCACAAATTAAACAAAATGCAAGTAATTAACATACTTAAATTATAATAAAAAAAAAAAAAAATTAAATAAACTTAAGCTATAAATAGAATAAAATAAACAAAATAATTAAATAATCAAATAAATAAAATTAAAAAAAAATAATAATAAAAATAATAAATATTATAATAAAAAATATAAATTATTTAATTATTGTTTTTTATATTATTAAATAAGAATATTTAATAATAATCCTAGTAAAATAATAATAGTAAATATATTAATATTTGCTGATATTAATAATTCTTTTATAATAATAATAATAAATAATATAATAATAATAATAATAATAATAATAATAATAATAATAATAATAATAAATGAATATTAATAATAATTAATGAATAATTAATAAATGAAATGGAATTAAATAATAATAATATTAATAATAATAATAATAATAATAATACTGCAATTTATATAAATTACAAGATATTGTTTTTTATTTAAATTAAAATTTTTTGAAAATTCACGTAAACTAAATTTTTTATAAAACGAATTTTTTTCGCATAATTAATAAAACAAACGGTAATTAACTATTAAAAAAAAATAATAATAATAATTTAGTTGGAATATAGAACATAATTATATAAATATATATAGAACGTCATTTTTTCTAATAATACTTTATATATATATATAAATTATAACATTGAAAGTAGTTTGTGAAATAAAGAATTTGAAAACTAAGCAACTTTTAATGTGTGTTGCCGGCAGTTAACTTTTCCTCTCTAAATTTAGAGGCACATGAAATTTTATTATTTCAATAGCCGCGAAAAAATTAATTCTTCTACTGTGAATCATTTACATTTTTGTGTGAAAAAAAAAATATTTTCAAATTTCGTAAAAACAAAGAAAAAAAAAAAACTAAAAGAATAATATTTATAAATTCGAGAGGTAATATAAAATATCTAAAAATATATTTTAAATAATTTTTTTTTTCTCTTTTGACAAGAAAAAAAAAACGATTTTTCATCGTAATAAAAAAAAGCAAATTTTTTAATTAAGAAAAAAAATCGATTTAAATAAAAAAAAAAAAATTTTTTTAATCATTTTTATAAACACTTTTTTTTTTAAAAAAAGGAAAAAAATTTCACTCGGCTTTTTTTTGAGGGGGGAACACAATTTTTGTTTTCACACTTGACACTTATTCTTGACAAAAAAAAACTACACTTTTCTATTTAATATTATTGTGAAAATTAATTTTTGAGAAAAAAATAAATAAATTACTCTTGCACCTTTAGGATGAATCACTGGGCAAATTCATTCATACAGAAAATCGATAGCGGCTCCTTCGTACGTATATATATATATATATATATATATATATATATATATATATAGATATAATATAAAACAACCCCTCGGGGAAAATTTCCCTCATATAAAGATTTCCGTGTTTTTCCCCCATTTTAGTGATCGAACTTTCCAAAAAAAATTTCTCATGCGCCAATTTTTTTTTTCCTAAATATTTTAAAATAACGCAAAATAAAAACGAAATCGAAAAAAAAGCCACTGAATTACACAATAGAATCTCTAACCTAAAAATAGATTTTTTCCGTATTCGTAAAAATGACATAATATTAAAATATTGATGATCTCATTTTCTTCTTTAAAAAAAAAAAAAATACTGACAACATAGTTACGAAAATAGTTTCTACCTATATAAATATACAAAAAATCCTTGAATTTTCATCCCCTAATTCTCATTTCAACCCCACTCGTATACCCTAACCTCAAAATTGAAATACAACTTTCCAACCCTTTTGAAAAATAAAAAGAAAAGAAAAAATTATTAAGGAATGTTTTTTCTTTTTTTTTTATTTAATTACGGAACAGATCAGAAACGTGTCGCATTGGGTTAGGTAGCGGTCACACCCGAAGCAACATTCATCACTGACGCTATGTTTAAAAAAAAAAAAAAATCACATCAATAAACGCGAGACTAGATTAAAAAAAAATTCACGCACTATCACTTATAATTTTGCCAAAACTCACCTATTCTGATTATTTTGACTGGTCCTTGTCACAACACTTGACACTTTTCATCACCAAGGTGTCATTAGGTGTGTATATATACATAAAAGTATATATATATATATGTATGTATATATGCAAAACACGACGATACACGCCAACCACTGACTGACTGACTCCGAAATGTACTACGCGACTGCTGCTGCCAACAAAATCAGTGTTACCACACTGTAAACTGATAAATCGAAAAATTACCAAAATACTCTTTTCGGTTTTTTATATCAATTTTTTTAAGTTTCAAAAAAAAATTCGATTTTTGTGTTAAAGACAAGTGAGAAATACAATACATTTTTTTTTTGGAAAATTTGGTTTAATTTTTAAATACGATAGACGGCGGTAATTTGAAAAGTTACTAGTTATTGTGGTGAGGAATTTATTTAAAGGTGGTAGCACTGCTTCAGCGTACGGTACTTATATGAGTTAGTGAATATAGTAAAATACAGTAAATGTTAACAGAAAATAGGTGTGTATGTGTGAAAATATGTTTTATGAGAGAAAATGTGTGTATGTATATATGTTTTAAAGCCCAAAATCCCCAAAAATTTATGCCCTCCTTTTTTTCAATACATAACCTATATATATCTGTATAAGAGAATAAAGACCGGAATCTATATATTCTTTTCTTATATCTATATATGTTACATAAAAGTTTTTAGATGAGCACACATGCCCTTTATATATATTATATTGTCGCGTTCTCGTGCGTCTTTGGAGGGTTTTCTTTTGTTGATTATTTCTCGTTTTGTCACCTGCGCGTTTTATTATTTCCGCGCCAAAATTCGCTTTGTTCTATTATAGAGGAACAAAAAAAAAAACAAAATTAAAAAAAGAAATTAATTTTTTTAATTTACATTTAAACGGGATTAATATATTAATCAAATAACTTTATTTATTGAAATCAAATAGATTTTTTTTCTTTATCAATTTTCTTCGTTTCAAAATTAAAATGAATTAATTTTTCACGAAATTTAATAATGTGTAAAAATCATTACAAATTACAAACAAAAATATAATATAATTGTAATTTCGAAAAAATTAGATTTAAAATTTATTAAAATTTAATTTTAAATTTTAATTTTAAATCTATTAAATAATTGAATTTTCAAAGAAATTTATTACAATATTATTAAATAAAATTAATTTAGCAAAAAAATTTTAGAAATATTTGAATTTCTGGAGATTTTAAATTTCAATTTTTGTAAATTTCTATTCAAAATTATTTAAATTTTTCAAAAAAGTAATTAAATTATAGAGAATTTTTAATTGAAAAATTGTTTTAAATAATTGATTTTTTTTGAAGAACTTGATTTAAATAATAAATAAATAAATATACAGAAAAATAAAATAATACAAAAAATTATCAAATTATGAACATAAAAAAAAATTTCAATTAGTTTATAATTCTAAATTGTTTTTTTTTTTATTTAAAATATTCAATAATAATAATAAATTAATAAAAAATTGTTATTCTTTAAATTTTACTTTCTTTTTAAGAATTTAATATTTTATTTTTATAAAAAAAAATGAATCTAAAAAAGAATTTTAATTTTTGAAAAATAATTCTAATTTGTTTGTTTAAGAAAAGAAAAAAGGAAAGTTTCTTGAATTTTTTTTTAATAATTAATGAATTAATATAGTTTTTGAATTATTTTCTTTTTATTATTTAAAAATTTTGTTTATTTAAAAAATAAAATTTGATAAACTTCTTTTTTTTCAATTTCTTTGTTACTTTAATTTATTGATAGACATTCTGAGAAAATTTAATTAACATTTAATTACAGAATTTTTGGCACTAAATCAAAATTGACAAAAATTTAGAGCGCTAGATTTTTGTCAATACAATACTTTATTTTTAACTTGTGACAAAAAAATTTTTTGCTTTTTTTTTTAAAAAAAAAGTCTTTTCTTTTTTGCAAAATGTATTTTTATATTTTAATAAATTTTTTTTTATTATTAATATTTAATTTAATGTAATAATTAATTAATAATATTAATTAATAATATTTTATTGTAATAATGATAAGAATAATAATACCTAATTATTATTATTATTATTATTATTATTATTATTATTATTATTATTATTATTATTATTATTATTATTATTATTACTATTATTATTATTATTTTTGTTATTATATTATGATTTTCTTTTTATTATCGTTATTATTTTTATTATTATCAACTTATTTTGAAAATAATTATTAATATAATAAATTAATAATTAATATTTGAAAAATTGAAATTATGAAGTTAAAATTTAATAAATATATTTTTTTTAATTCTATTTTATTAATAAAAAAAAAAAAATAGAAAAAGGATTATCGAAAGAAAAATTGCAATTTCTTACATATTATTGAATTTATTGTGTATATATAATAGATTTTTATATTTAAATATTTATATATAATACAATCGTGGATTTTTGTGAAAAATATTTCATCAATCCATGAAATATAATATTATTAAAAGGAAAAAAAAAATTTCAATTTTTCCTTAGGACGCGATATCACTCGATGACATTATTTCTTCTATATTATTATATATTGTATAAGTTTTTAAAAATTTAATTTAAAAAAAAAAATTTATCTACCTATTTATTTATACAAAGGTAATTTTTTTTCCTCTCGATTCATATTAAAAAAAAAAAAAAACGTTAAACGACATTCGTTTACATTCTTATTTAAAAAAAAAAAAAAAAGAAATTATTTTACATACACGATTCGAATAAAGTACAAAATTTTTTTCATTTATACATTGCGAATCAAATGGAAGAGCAAGAACTCTTAAAAATTTTCTTTTTCACTTCATTTACATAAGATTATTATGTATATATATATAAATACTGTTTTTTTACTTGATCATTTTAAAAAGAAAATAAAAAAAATTCTTTTTTTACAAAATTTAATTTTTTTTTCAATTCGCTTCATTCACGTAACGAAGGAAAAATGTCACTTTCACTTGTTCCACGTGACGACAAAGTTTCATTGCTGCGCTTGTTCGTAAATTCATGTGTTGAGTCAATGATGGTAAATTTAAAAGTAGAAAAGCCAATCCATCGATTTCCTAGAAAAAAATTAAATTTTTATTATTAGTATAATTTTTCAATTTATAATAATTTTTTTTTTTGTATTTTGAATTTGAAACAAAATTCAATTCAAAAAAAGCAAACAAAAATCAATAAAAAATTTTTTAAATTCAGAGTTGTCACAGTTCAATTAATTATTTACAAAAATTTTATCTATAAATTAAAAAAGAAACAAATTTACAAAAATTTAAATCATAATCTCGAGAAATTCAATTATTTATAAAATTGTTTTCTAAATTAATTTTATTCAATAATATTTTAATAAAATTCTTTGACAATTCAATTATTAAAAATAGTTTTTGAATTAAAAAAATCTTTTTAAATTTAATTATTCACAGAAATTAAAAAAATCTTTAGCATTTGAATTTTTCAAAAATTTCAATTTAAAAATCTTTTGAAACTTAATTATTTCTAAAAATTTTAATTATAACTTTTTTAAAATTTAATTATTTTAAAAAAATGTTGTTTTTAAAATTAATTGTTAAATTATAGTTAATCAATAATTTTCATCAAATTCTTCTAAAATTTGAATTATTTTAAAACATTTTTAATTACAAATTCTGTAAAATTTTAATTATTGTCTGAAATTTTTTAAAAAAATTATTTAAAAAATTAAATTTTTTGAAAACTTAAAATCTTTTGAAATTAAATTATTTCGAAAAATTTTTATTAAATTAATTAGTTTAAATCAAGTTCTTCAAAAAATCAATTATTTAAAACAATTTTTCAATTAAAAATTCTCTATAATTTAATTACTTTTTTGAAAAATTTAAATAATTTTTGAATAGAAATTTACAAAAATTAAAATTTTAAATCCCCAGAAATTCAAATATTTCTACATTTTTTTTTTGCGAAATTAATTTTATTTAATAATATTGTAATAAATTTTTTTTGAAAATTCAATTAATTAATAGATTTAAAATTAAAATTTTTAAATTAAATTTTAAATCTAATTTTTTCGAATAATTTGCAAATATCAGTCTTTGATTATTTTTTTAAAAAATGAAAATTAAATATTTAATGTTTATAAAAATGCAACAAAAAAAATTAGGTTTTTTTTGAAAATTTTAATTCAAATTTTCGCTTCTAAAAATTAGTGTAATTTTTTATAATTAAATACTTAAAAAAAAAATTTTCCTCACTCTCAGGGAAAAAAAAATTGAAATTTTATCTGAAAATCAGGGAAAAATTAAAATTTTTGCCGGCAACGCTGAAATTAATCAGAAAGTAAGAAAAGAGAAATAAAAAAAAAATACCTCTTGTTTGACTCTGTGCGCAATATCCTTGCAATCATTAGTCTTCCTTAAATATTTAAAAACATCATCAACACTCCAAAATAATGGATTCGAATCCAATATTGTTCCATTCTTTGGCTTTTTTGCGTTATTATGATTACTATTATTATTATTATTATTACTATTATTATTACTATTATTGTTATTAATTTTCTTCTGCCCCCGTCGATAATTCCCATCAATTTCCGAATTATCAGATTCTGTATTATCATCTCTTTCACGTTTAACGCCACGTGTTTTTGTTGTGCCATTATTTTGACACAATAATAATGACGATGACGATGGCGACGATGATTTTATTTGTGTTGTTTTACCACCACCTGAACTTCCAGGACTATCAAAATTACTGTCCTTACTTTTACGATCATTAAATGATGAACTACGCGAATCTTCCGAGCCATTACTTGATTGTGCTTCAATTTTAAAATCATCAAATTTATTATCATTTTTGGAAAAGTCAATTTCATTTAATTGCACTTGACCATCGCATGATTCTTCAAAATTATTTGTAATATGCTTTGTTAAATCCATTGATAAATATGGCATATCCTCATCGTGTTCCTCGTCGTCTTGTTCCTTGTCGCGATTTGCCCAACGACCTCGTCTTCGTTTTCGACGACCTCCCCATGGTTTTGGCTTTTGTACCATTATACTTGTGTAGCCTTTTGGCTTTCCTCGTTTTCCATTGCCCACTGGAGCTGCTGTAAAATGAAAAGAAAAATGTAAAATTAAATTTAAAAAATTTTTTTTTTTAAATTACAAAAAAATTAATTGTATTGAAATTTAAAATTAATTATTATTAATTTATTGGAGTGAAAAAGAAATATTTTATTTTCTAGGGGTTTGGAAAAGATTATTTTAATTCTTAGAATTGAATAAAAAATTATTTTATTCCCAGTGTGGAGTTGCAAAATATTTATTTTACCCCCTTGGGAATTGGGAAAGTAGTATTTTACTTTCTAGAGTTAAAAAATGCCAATTTACTCCCTAGAGATGGAAAAAAAAAAATTTTAGTACGCAAAATTTTTTTAGAACATAATATTTTATTTTCTAGAATTGGAAAATATTATTTTACCTCCTAGGATTCAAAAAGATAATTTTATTCCCTCGAAAGTTTAGAAAGTACTATTTTACTTCTTCGACATTAAAAAATGCTAATTTACTTCCTAGAGATGGAAAAAAAAATACAAATATTACTGGCAAATTTTTTTTTGAAAGTTGCTTTTGGCACAATTTTTATTTCTTTTTTTAATAGAATAATTATTTAACAAAATTTGTATTTAACATAAATTTTGTTTTTTGGGCAAAATTTCGATTTAATTTAATTTTGTATTAAAAGAAATTCAAAAATTTTAATTTAACAGAATTTTTATTCGTGTAAATTTTAATTTAACCAAATTTGCATTTAATAGAAATTTTCGGATTTTTTTTTTTTTTTTAATTTTTATTTAACCAAATATCTATTTTGAGAAATTTTATTGAAACTTTCAAAAGAATTTTTTATTTATCCAAATTTGATTGAGGAATTTTTATTTAACGGCATTTACATTGACTGAAATTTTATTTTAACAAAAAAATTTTCACTTGATAAATTTTTTTATTTCATCGAATTTTTTTTTATAAAAGGGAAAACATTTAACCAAATTTTTAATTTAATCGGATAATTTCGAATTTTTCATTTAACCGAATTTTGATTTTTGAAATTTTTTTTTATTTAACCAAATTTTTATTTTGATCAAATTTTTGTTTAAATATTTTAATCAAAATTTTGAACAAAATTTTATTTAAAAAAAAAATTTTCATTTTACTAAATTTTTATTTAATAAAATTTACATTAAAATGGATTTTGAAAGAATTTTTATTTAACGAAATTTACATTGTCAAATTTTAAATTTTAATCAAAATTTTGCTTTTGACAAATTTTCTAATTATTCATCAAATTTCCTTAAAGAACGAAAAATATTTAATAAAATTTTGATTTAATCGCTTAATAACCAAATTTTTCATTTAACTAAATTTTTTATTTTAAAAAAAATTTTAATATTTAACCAAATTTACATTTTACCGATTTTAAACGAATGTTTATTTAAAAAAAATTTTCATTTAATGAAGTTTACTTTAATCAAATTTTAATTGATGCAAAATTTGCTCTTGATAAATTTTTCATTATTTACTGAATTTTCTTACTAAAAGGGAAAATATTTAATCAAATTTTGTTATTTGATAGAATTTTAAATTCTCAAACAAATTTGTATTTAATATAAATTTTCTTTTTTTTTTTATTTAACCAAACTTGGATTTAATATAATTTTTTATTAAAAGAAATTTATAAATTTTTATTTAATAGGATTTTTATTAGACCAAATTTTAATTTAGCAAAATAAAATGTATTTGGCGAAATTTTTATTGAAACTTTCAAAAGAATTTTTCATTTATCCAAATTTGATTAACGAATTTTCATTTAACCAAATGTTTCATTTAACGGAATTTACTTTAATTTTATTAAATTATTATTATTATTATTATTATTATTATTATTATTATTTATTTATTTAATTTCATTTAAACCAAAAATTTGCTTTTGACAAAATTTTTCATTATTTACCAAATTTCTTTACTAGGAAAATATAAATATTAAATATTTTGTTAAATATTAGAAAAAATATTTAACCAAATTTTGAATTTTTTAAATTTTGCCATTTAACAAAATTTGTTGACTAAATTTTTATAATTAATCAAATTTAAACGATTTTGAATTTATTTAACCAAATGTTACCTTTTTTTTTTGTTTCTCATCAATAGAACAAAATTATGTTTGAAAAAAAATAATTTTTTTTTAATATAAACTGAACGTAATTGTAATTTTTTTTAATGAATTTTGAAAAATGCATTTCACAAAAAAGAAAATTATTAAATTAAAATAGAAAACTTACTGTATTTCGTTTTTTGCCGTTTGTGACAACGATCCGGACAATCATCCTCCAAAATGCGTACCGGTCCAAATAAATTTGGGCATACCATTAATTTTTTACAAATCATACGACAAAAATCAGCGACCATATCGCCTGATGTAACAACGGCAACACTTGCACGATATGTATTATTTTTGTGTTTTGCCTTTAATACTTCGAGATTATAGCCATTTTTTGGTTTAGCGTCACATTGTAAAACTTTTAAAATACGCGCACTTCTATAGCCAACAGAGACAATCATTGAAAGTACTTCGCGCATTACTAAAATCACTGGTCCAGGTCCAACTGCTTTTGGTAATGTTGCCAATTTTCCCTTTGATATCATTGGACCCGTAAAACAACGATAATTAAAATAAATTTTTGGACACCAAAGCGATGAACGTGGCGCATCATTACATGAATTTTCAATAATATTTGATTTTTTTTTCATTTCCATTGTTGTTGTTGTTGTCGATGTTGTTGTTGTTGTTGCTGTTGTTGTTATTGTTGTTGAAGGTTGAAGTTTACCGCATATTTCAATATAATTTTTTGGCGGTTTTAATGGATAATGATTTGATTCACACCAACCAACTGGAAATATATGCAATGAATTCATATGTACCACATGTTCTTGTCGACAATCCTCATAATTATCAAGTTTCAACCATAATAGAGTGTCAATTATTTTTGTCACGTGCGCTGCACAAATGACATTTTCATTTTCAGGATCAACAGCCTCTAAACGCATACCAATTTCATAGCCTAATTCATGGGCATTTTCTTTTGGTGAAAAAAATATTTCATTCGCTGCTATTGATTCAGTTACTTTTAAATATTCATTCCAATTGAAATCAATTGATTTTGAAATCCAACCTTGAGGATGTGTTAGTCTGGGAAAAAAAAAAATAATAATAGTAATAATAAGAAAATTGATTTTTTTGGGGAATTTTGAAAATAAATTTTCCATGTTTTTTTTTTTAATATTTATAAAATCGAATTTAAGTAAAATTTTTTAAAATTGAATTTATTTAGAATAAATTGAATTCCATACGAAAGAAATTTAAATTTAACAGAATTTTTATTAAATCGAATTTGGAATTTAATGGAATTTTCATTAAAATAGATTTTTTTTTAGATAGCAAATTTCTTTATATTCCTTATTTATTTATGCCGATTTTGATTAGGTAGCAAATTTCCTTATTTGATGAATTCGCATTTAATAGAATTTTTATTTAATGGAATTTTTTCATTTCCTTTGGAGTAAAATTTTTTAGATTCGAATTTATTTACAATAAATTGAATTTTCATTCAATCAAATTCAGAATTTAATAAAATTTTCATTAAACAAAATTTTTTTAGGCAGAAAATTCCATTATTTAACGAATTCGCATTTAATAATAATTAAGAATAAAAATAAAAATAAAAATCGAATTCAGAACTTATTAGAATTTTCATTAAACAAAATTTTCATTAATCAGAATTTTTTTAAGTATCAAATTCCCTTATTTAACGAATTTAGATTTAAGAGAAATTTTATTTAATAGAATTTTTATATTTCCCTTTAAATACAAATTTTTTCGAATCCAATTTATTTACAACAAATTAAATTTTCATAGGAAAGAATTTTAATTTAATAGGATTTTTGATTAAATTAGAATTTCTGAATTTAATAGAATTTTCATTGAATAGAATTTAAATTTAAACGAATTTTCATTTAGTCGAAATTTTATTTAACCGATTTTCTGTTAAACATAAATTTAATTTAGCCGAATTTTTATTCAAAACAGAAGTCTTATTAAATATTTAATTAAATTTTTTTTTAGATAGATAGAATTTTTTTATAGTCAAATTTTCATTGAATAGAATTTAAATTTTTATGAATTTTTATTAAGCAAAATATTTATTTAACAAAAATTTTGTTTAACGTGATTTTTATTTTATGGAATTTCTTCTTATTTGAAATTTTTACACGATGGAAATTAACTAAATTAATTAATTAATAGAATTTTTTATTATACCGAATTTTCATTAAATAAAATTTAAATTTGAATAAATTTTTCATTTAGTCGAAATATTTTACAAAACAATTGTTTCCTGTTTAAAATAACTTTTATACAGCCGAAATTTTTATTTAAAACAAAATTCTTATTCAATTAATTACCAAAATTTTTATTATGCCAAATTTTCATTGAATAGAATTTTATTTAACATAATTTTTATTAAGCCGAGATTTTATTTAAATAGAATTTCCAAAAGAAACAGATTTTGTGATTTAGCGAAGTTTTATGTAATAAAATTTCCTATTTAACAGGATATTTTTTAGCTAAATATTCTCTAAATAAAATTTAAAATGGATTTTCATTTAGCTAAATATTTATTGAACATAATTTCAATTTAACATAATTTTTATTTATCACAATTTTTCATGAAACAAAATTAAAAGAAGGAATTTTCAATGTTTGTCAAATTTTCTTTTGAAATTTATTTAACCAAATATTATAACTATCAAATATTTAACCAGAATTCATTTAAATAAAAATTCCATTAGATAGCAATTTTGTGAATGAAAATTTTTTTTATAAATAAAATTTTCGCATTCAATTGCAAATTTGACTAAATAATTAAGTTAGACTAAATAATTGAAAATTTTAAATAAAATTTGGCTAAATGAAAATTATTATAAAATTAAAACTTAGAGTGAAATAAAAATGTAATTTTCCTAATTAAACATTTCTTTAGATAAAAATTGTGTTAAATAGAAAATTTAAATAAATACTTAAGTTAAAAATTCTGTTAATTTAAAATTTAGTTTAAATCGAAATTTGATAAAATTCTGCTAAATAGAAATTACATTTATTTAATATTTATCTGAATAAAAAAAAATTGTTAGTAAAAATTTTCGCTAAATGAAATAAAAATTAAAATATAAATTCTGCTCTAAATAAAAAAAAAAATAATGGCTAAATAAATAAAAAAATATTAATTATCGTCAATATAAAATTAAAAACAAAATTTTTTTTTTTTTTTTACCTGATTCCATGTTTTTCCGCCCATCCAACTGGAAAAATATAAGGATGATCGGCAGTACAAAGCCATGTATCTTTCTCAGCACTATCATAAACAAATGATTCATTTAAATCTTGAACAGGATCTTCCTCATTGTAAATATCAATTTTCACAAGAAAATAATAATCATCAAATACTTTAACAACTGATGCTGGACATATTTTTGTACGATCGGCAGGCGATATTGTTTCTAATTTCATGTTACGTTGAAATTTATGTTTTGGATGTTCTTTAATATTATCAAAATGACTTTCATTGTGATCATAATTTTTTGAACTATTTTCCGTTAATTCTTTCCATTCCTCATAGGCGTGTGTATCAATTATTGATGTTGGCGGTTCTAAAAACCATTTTGTACTTGTTGAATTATTTGCCGCTGAAAAGCCATGACGATGTAAATGTTCCGATGTGCAAAATATCCAAAAATCTTTCATTGGCGATGAACCAGGTGTGTCATAACGAAGCAATAGACGACCGCCAACATTTTCAATTATCTGCGATAATAGAGGAGAAAAAATAAATAGAAAATATTGAGGGGAGAATTTTTTTTTTCTAATTTTTATAAATTGAAATCACAAAATTAGAAAAAAAAAAAAAAAAACATTCAGGGGTGAATTTTATTATTTTTCTTATTATTATTTCAATGCATTAAAAATTATCATTTTTTAATATTAAAATTAAATTAAAAATCTAATAAGGAAATAAAATTTCAAAATTAAATTCATAATTAGTCGAAAAAAAAAATTGAGTATAAAATGAAATTCAATAAAAATATTTTTGGAATTAGTTTGAAAATTTTTACAACTTTTTTTTTCGTTTTTTCTAACAATAGTAATTTTATTGCAGTATTAATTTTTTTTTTCCTTTGTGTAAAATTTTTTCTCGTTTAAAATTTTCCATTATAGCAAAATTTTTTCCTCCTGGAGTAAAAAAAGGAATTTTTAATTAAAAAAAAAAAAAAATGAAACTTACAGTTGCCAGCCACAATTTGTAAGGATGTCGAATATCGCTCACTTCGACTTTCATTCCCTGTTTTATTCTATCCACCATGCTGAGTCCTTCCTGTAATAAAAAAATTCAAAAATTCAAAAATTCAAAAATTCAATGAAAAGAAAAATAAATTTAGTTTAGTATAAACTTTAGTAAAAAATTTTCATTAAAAAAAAATAATTTTGTTCTTTAATTAAAATCAATTTTAATTGAAGAACAAAATTATTTTCTAAACTAAAATTAATTTTAATTAAAGAACAAAATTATTTTCTTACTGAAAATTAATTTTTTTTTTTTACTAAATTTACTTTTACTAAAGTTTATACTAAACTAAATTAATTTTAATTTAATATATTTTTTTTTGTAGTAAATCGATTTTTTTTTTTTTAATTAAAATAGAAAATACAAACCCCTGAGAGCATTTCCTGTGGAACAGATTTGGTATTTGATAAAAATTCAACAAGTTTCTCACGACAATCGGGCGAACGTTTTTCAATTTCTTCAGGTGGTTGTAATTGTTTATTATTTTTTTCACACCAACCAATTTCGTGTGCCGCTTCTTTTGTTAAATTAAACCAAAATTCCAATGATCTATCGTCACCGCCAAAATATCGTAATCTCAATAATGGCCCACATGCCATTACAATTGAGCCAATCCAATAGGAAATTTCATTCTCATCATTTGTTATTTTTCCATTTGGCACTTCCAATGACATGCCAATTTCAATTCCACTTTGTAGTGTTAATTCAACATGGGGAAATAAAATTTGTGGCACTTCTGTACTTTCAGTTGCGTCTAAATAATCTTGCCAAACAAATACAAGTTCTGAAAATGAAAAAAAAACGTTAATTTCTTTTAAGAATTTGGAAAATTATGAAAATAAAATTTTTTTTATTAAACTTTTGTTCAATTAAAATTAAATTTAAAAAAATTAAAATTAAAAATTAAAAAAAATTAAAATTAAATTAAAAATTTAAAAAATTTAAAATTGAATTAAAAATTTTCTTCAAAAGAAGGGAAAAAAATTTACAGAAAATTAAATTATGTAAATTTATTTCTTTTTTTTTTGTCGTCTCATGTGATTTTTTTTTTTTTTTGTAGAAAGTAAAATTTTTGAAATTTTCAATTCAAACTTCTGCTCCAGAAATTCAAATATTTTGAAAAATTTTCCGCTCAATTAATTTTTGTTCAATAAATATTTTAATAAATTTCTTTGGAAAAAATGTTTCAAATTAATTTTTTAAAAATTTTTAATCATTCAATAATTTTCATCAAATTTTTTTCTAAAATTAAATTATTTAAAACAAATTTTAATTGAAAATTCTTTCAAATTTAATTATTGTCTAAAAATTAGAAAGAAAATGAAATTTTTCGAATATTTAAAATCATTTGAAATTATATTATTTCTGAAATTCTTAGCTAAATTAATTATTTTCAATTATTTTAATTACATTTTTTTTTAGAAATTCAATTATTTAGAATAATATTTAATTTTTGTCAATTAAAATTAAATTAAAAAAATTTAAATTAAATTAATTTAAAATTGAATTAAAAATTGAATTTAAAATTTAAAAAATTAAAGTTGATTTAAAAATTTTCTTCAAAAGAGGGGAAAAAAATTTACAGAAAATTAAATTATGTAAATTTATTTTTTTTTGTCGTCTCATGAAAATTTTTTTTTTTTTTTTTTTTATTGTAAAAAGTAAAATTTTTGGGCGCGCGAAATTTAAATTTTTCTCAACAATATTTCTACTTTACCGACAGTACATAAATTGAAAAAATTAAAAACTATTTTTCTATAAAAAGCCAATTTTTCGGCTTAATGAAAATAAAAAATTAAGCGCAAAATTTCCTGTTAACTAAAAAATTGGCTAAATACAGTTAAATGAATTAAATTCGATTATAAATATTACAGAGAAAAAATATAAAAATTCTGTTAAATATTATATTAAATATAAATTCTGCCTACTAAAAATTCGGTTAAATAATAATAATAATTGTAATAAAATTATTTTTTTAAAAGAAAAATTCTGCTAAAAAATAAATTTTGTTTAAAAAAAATTACGTTAAAATAAAAAAAAAATAAATAAAAATTCGGTTTTAAATGAAATTTATAATAGATATTAAAAGAAAGTTCCACAAAATGAAATTATATTAAAATAAAAAATTGGTTTAATTCTAAAAAGAAATTATATAAAATTTATTATAAAAAATATATTAAATTTATATATATATATATATTTTCAAAAAGAATTTTTGTATTTATTACACAAAAATTAGAAAGAAAAATGTAAATAAATTTTATTATATTACCTTCATCTGGATTTTTTTCCATCGCTTCATTTCCGGTAGATTCCATGTTTTATACACAATCTGTAGAATATCAATAAAATATATATATATATTTTTTTTAATAAATCTTACTCTCGTGTATATCAATATATATATATATATATATATATATATATATATATATAAATTAATTCTCAGCGTAATTTTTCAATTAATTTGCCAATATTATTGAAATTATTTTTCGAATTTATTTTCCTGTTATTTTTTTTTTCTCGATGATATTTCATTTTTTCATTAATCAAAATTGTGTAAAATATAAAATTAATAAAAAGGAAGTAAAAATAAGTAAAAATAGTTGTTATAACCGCACACACAACTATAATACACAAACTCGTCACAAGAGAAAATATAGGGTACTCAGGGCCGTATCTATTACAATTAATTTATCTTAAATTATTACTCGTAAAGAATAATATTCTGTGAAAAAAAAAATGGAAATTAATTTCTTTATTGAAATATTTAATAATAACAATAATAATTATTATTTTAATTCGATAATAATAATATAAATTATTATTATTATTATTATTATTATTATTATTATTATTATTATTTATTATTATTATTTATTAATTACTAATTTTTCAATTTTTAAATAATTTTCCACTCTTTCGTATATAAAAAAAAATTGTTTATTGTTAATTAATAAATTAATTGATGCAAAAAATTTGTAATTTTTTCAAAAAATATTTATTAATTAAAAATATGAAAATTTGTTTCAAATAACTAAATATTCTTTATTTTGTATTTCTTTTTGCAAAAAAAAAGGATCAATTTATAAATAAATTAAAATAAATAGTATATAGTAAAAAAAATTAATATATAAATAATAAATAATTAATAAGAAAAATAAAATAGGAAGAAAAACTTTTAGAAATATTTACGATACAATTTTTTTTTGTCCCGGGTGCCATTAACAATTTTTTCGTCCCTGAACGCATTTGTTCTCTCTCTCTCTATCCTTCTGTATACTGCGATCTTTATAGAATTTAAATAAAAAAAAAATAAATAATATAATTATGAATAAAAAAAAGGATTTTTATTCTTATTTAAATATATTAACAAATTTAAAATTTATAAATTTTCAAATTTCAATAGTAAAATTAATTTTTAAAATCAAAATGTTTTCTCATTATTAATACATGGGGGAAAAATTTTTGTAAATCACTGTACTGTCTTTGTCTATATATATATATGTATATACAACAAAAGGTATATCGAACTTTTAACAGTAGAAACTAATTAAAAAATCATTAAAACATAATTTTATTTGAAAATCAGTAAAATTCACCCACTTCTTTCATTTATATTCTCACATACAAAAATAACCTAAAAATATATATTTTGAAAAAGATTTAAATATTTCAATAATTACATCAATTTGAGCAATTACTTTTTTTTAATGAAAAAATAAATTTTATCTCTATCAAAGTTTCATTTTTTTTTTTTTTTTTTTTTTAGAAAAATTAAATAATAAAAATGTATTTCTAAAAAAAATTTTTTAAACTTTTTTTTATCGTGTTTATTTCGAAATAAAATTTTATTTTCAAAAATAAAATTCTTATCAGTAAAAGAAAATTAAAATTTCCTGAAAATGTTCGAGAATTCTAAATACGGGAATTAAATTAATAGAATTACTTTTTATATAATAAACATTTTATATTGATACAAAAAAAAAAGTAAAATTGAATTTCAATGTGTGTGATTAAAAATCCAAAAAGAATTAAAAAAAGGAAAAAAAAATTAAAATACCTTTTATAAATATTGTGAAAAGTGAATGTTTTGTAACTTTTGTAAAAAAAAAATATATATATATACATATATATGTTTTCTAGTGGTGTGTGATTATATATTTTATAAAAGTAGTGTGATATATAAAATACTTTACCTGTAAATTATTAGCGAGATAGAGGTTATAATGAAAAACTTTTCAATTCTCATAAACACTTATTAAAGAAAATGAAAATTTTTACACTTTTTTCCTTACACGTTTTATTATTTATTTAGTAAAAAATTGTTTCTTTTTTTTAGAGCACTTTAATACATTTACTTTTTCTCTCGCGTCGAATAAAACGATCGCTTTGCACCCAAGAAAAGTTTCCACTGTAGCCAATTGGGGGAAAAAAAAAATTCTCATTTCCCTTTCCCGCCATCCAAGGGAAAATGAAAAGAAAAATTATAACTAAAATTCATATTATTCTACATTATTAAAATTAATTTAATTTAAAAATTATTCATTTAATTAGAAAAATTTTCTCCTTTTTTTGTTTTTATTATTGAAAATAATCAACAATTGCAACGTACAACAATACAAATTTTCACTTAAACAATAGTTGGCCAACCTGTTTGCAAAGCAGACGACAATTGTTTATATGTTTTTAGTACACGTGAGTTTTTTTTTTAGAATAAAAAAATTCTTTTTATTTGTCATGACAGTTGTAATTAAATAAATAATAATGAAGTTTATTTATGAAATTTGTCATAAATATGGTAAATTTTATTCAATTTCAAAGCATTATTGTTCTTTATGGGGGAAATCATGTTTAACTGTTGATTCTAACCTCAAAAGAATTGAGAAAAAATTTGCAATACGTTATTATTCCACAATATTTAATGATAATTTAACGGAAAAATCGGTGAAAAATTTTTTGGATCATGCAACAAAAGTTTATGAGGGCAAGGAAGAGGATAAATCGGAAATTGGTGAAATTCTTGAAATTCATGAAGTGAAGAAACTTGTTCAAGATAGAATCAATATTATTGAAAATATTCAATCTTTAGATGAATTAAGTAAGTTTTTTTTTTTTTTTTTGAATAATATGTTTTCTTATTTATTGTTTTATTTTTCTTTTATTTATATGTTATTGATTATTTAAAAATTTTATAAATTTAAATTTAAGATCGAGAGATATTTTAAAATTTTAACCTCGAAATTGAAGTTATAATAGAATTATTTTTATTTTATTTGCTATAAAATGGCTTTTATTTATTTTTATTTAGCTGATATTAATTTTTGAAATTTTCAATTAAAACTTCTGCTCCAGAAATTCAAATATTTCGAAAAATTTGCCGCTCAATTAATTTTGTTCAATAAATATTTTAATAAATTTCTTTGGAAAAAATGTCTCAAATTAATTTTTTAAAAAATTTTTTAATCATTCAATAATTTTCATCAAATTTTTTTCTAAAATTAAATTATTTAAAACAAATTTTAATTAAAAATTCTTTCAAATTTAATTATTGTCTAAAAATTAAAAAAAAGAGGAAATTTTTCGAAAATTTAAAATCATTTGAAATTCAACCTATTTCTAAAATTCTTAAATTAATTATTTTCAATTATTTTTTAGAAAATTTTTTTTTAGAAATTCAATTATATTTTAAATAATATTTAATTAAAATTTTTTTTAAAAATCATTCATTTTTTGAAATTTGTAGATAATTTTGAAGAAAATAAATTTTCGAAAATTTCAATAAAAAAAAAAAAAAATTCATAATTCAATTATTTAAAAAAAAAAAATCTTAACTGTAACTCTATGAAAATTCATTTATTTCAAACATTTATCAATTAAAAAATTCTTGTATAATTTAATTACTTTTTTATAAGATGTAAATAATTTTGAATAGAAATTTACAAAAATTAAAATTTATAATCTCCAGAAATTTAATGATTTTTCAAATTTTTTTTGCTAAATTAATTTTGTTCAATAATATTTTAATAAATTTCTTTGGAAAACTCAATTATTTAATAGATTTTTGAATTTAAAATCCAATTTTTTCGAATAAATTGCAAATATCAGTTTTTTTTATTATTTTTTAAAAATGAAAATTAAACATTTAATGCTTTTAAAAATGCAATAAAAAATTAGGTTTTTTGAAAAATTTTATTCAATTTTTTGTTTCTAAAAATTAGTGTTCTATTTTTTTATAATTAAAAATTTGACATTTTTTTTTATCATAGGGAAAAAATGAAATTTTATCTGGAAATCAGGGAAAAATAAAATCAAATTTTTGTGTCAATTTAAAAAAAAAATTTTACAATTTTTTTTCTCTTCTTCTGACAATTATATAATAATAAAATGCTTGGTCTGTCCTTCTGTCCTAACTTGAAGGTGGCCTTTTCTGATTTCACGTGTTTTTTTGACTAGTAATCTTATGTCAAATTTTGACAATTCTTTTTCTCATTTTTGCCAAAGTTGTATAATTGTGTTTCCAAATTTCGGAATAAGTTTCTTTAAAATTCCAAATTCGAAAATTCAATTCACGAAGCTGAAGTACACAACGTTTACCAACGAAATTTTTTTTAAACTTGTATATTCATTCAAAAATTGTATACAAATACAAAAAATTTATGATGAGAAAAAAGATGCGCGAGGAAATTTCGTACAAGATAGTAATTTGAAAAAAATTAATTTTTAAAAATTAATTTTTAAGGTACCAGGAGCCAACGAATACCTATTAAATATTAATTATAAAAACAAAGGCCTCGAATCAACTTAAAGATACAAAAAAGTCGTTTTAGTCTATTTATATTCCAAAAAAAAGTGAATTTGTTTTTTATTTTAACAAAAATATTTTACAGATTTTTAAATAAAAATTGTTTTTTTTTTTTTTAATAATAATCCTTTTCGAAGGGTTAAAGTTGAAATTTTTAGAAATAATTAAATTTCAAAAGATATTGTTAAATTTTCAAACAATTATTAAATTTTACAGAACTAAAAATAATTTATCAAACAATTTTTGGAAAACATTTTTTAAATTTAATTGAGTTTTCAAAGATTTAAAATTGAGATTTTTGAAATTAATTGAAACTTTAAGTGATTTTTAATTAAAATTTTAGATGATTTCACTAAAAATTTATTAGAAAATGCGGACAAAATACAATAATTTGAAAATCATTTTTAATTGAAAAATGGTTTCAGATAGTTGAATTTTCAAAGAATATTATTAAAATAGTTAAAAATAATTGAATTTCCTTAAAGTTATAATTGAAATTATTAAATTTAAAAAAAAAAATTTTTTCAATGGAAAATTTTAGAAATAATTAAATTTTAGATGTTTTTAAATTCAATTAATTTTGAATTCAAATTTTTGAGAATAATGAAATTTAATTTTGATTTTAAATTTGTAAAATAATTGAATTTCAGTTCATTTTGAATTGAAAATTTTGGGAAATAATTGAATTTTAATTGAAATTTTGGATAATAATTTAATTATTTAAGTTCATTTTTGATTGAAAATTTGGATAATTAATTTTGAATAGAAATTTTAGAAAATAATTGAATTTTATTTCATTTTAAATTGAAATTTTTGAAAATAATTCATTTTCAATTGATTTTGAATTGTAATTTTGAAAATAATTGAATTTTAGTTGATTTAAAATTGAAAACTTTGAAAATAATTGAAATTCAATTGAAATTTTGAAAAATAATTAAATTTTAATTGATTTTGAACTAATAATTTTGAAAATAATTGAATTTCTATTGAATTTTTTGAAAATAATTCAAGAAATTTATTAGAATTTACAGACAAAAATTGAACTGTAAAATTTTTTAAAAGTGAAAAATGGTTTCAGATAGTTTAAATTACGAAAAATATTTTTAAAAAAACATTAAAAAATAATTGAATTTCAGTTATAATTGAAATTATTAAATTTCAAAAAAAAAAATTTAGAAGAAAAATTTTAGAAATAATAAAATTGAACTTTTTGAAAATAATTAAATTTCAATTCCAATTGATTTTAAATTGTAACTTTTGAAAATAACAAAATTTAAATTGATATTCAATTGAAATTTTGGAAAATAATTGAATTTTAGTTGATTTTGAATTGAAATTTATGAAAATAATTCATTTTCAATTGATTTTGAATTGTAATTTTGAAAATAATTGAATTTTAGTTGATTTAAAATTGAAAACTTTGAAAATAATTGAAATTCAATTGAAATTTTGGAAAATAATTAAATTTTAGATACTTTTAAATTCAAATTATTGAAAATTCAATTAATTTTGAATTCAAATTTTTGAGAATAATGAAATTTTATTTGATTTTACATTTGGAAAATAATTGAATTTCAGTTCATTTTGAATTGAAAATTTTTGGGAAATAATTGAATTTTAATTGAAATTTTGGATAATAATTTAATTTAAGTTCATTTTTTATTGAAAATTTGGTTAATTAATTTTGAATAGAAATTTTAGAAAATAATTGAATTTTATTTCATTTTAAATTGAAAACTTGGTAAATAATTAAATTTTAAATTGAAATTTTTTTTGGATAATTATTGGATTTTTAATTGATTTTGAATTAAAATTTCGGGTAATAATTGAATTTTAGTTTATTTTGAATTGAAATTTTTTAAAAAATAATTCAATTTTATTGTGATATTTTTTTTTTTTAAATTATAAACAATTGTTAAATTTCATAAAAATTTTAATTGAAAAATAATTTTGATATAATTGAATTTGTGGTGTATTTAATTAAAATTATTAAAAATAATTAATTTAGTGAAGAATCATTTTAGTTCAAAATTTGTTAAATAATTGAATTGAAGAAGATCTGAAGAAGAGCTATACATTTTATACTAAAAAAATGTAATTTATTTACATTTTTTTTTCAAATGTAAAAAAAAATGTCGCTTTTTATTAAAATAAGTCGATAAAAATTTGGCGCGCTTGCTCGCGTTTAATTTTGCTAGTATAGTAATAATTTTATTTTTATTGCACTATTAATTTTTTTTTCTTTTTTTTTTGTATAAAATTTTTCGAGTTTAAAATTTTTCCATTATAGAAAATTTTTTCCTTGTGGAGGAAAAAAAAAATTTTTCACTTTTGCTTCCAAAAAAATAAAATATTGTTTCTAATTGAAATATAGAAAAATTTTATTATTTCAATCAATAAAAATAGTTGCGATTTTATGAATTTTCAAATAATTTATTAACAGTTAATAATTATTTTATTTCTAATAAAGAAATAGAACAAAATAAAGAAAAAGACGCTAATTTTTTTTTTAATAGAATTATTTTCTTTTCTATTTTTTCTTTTTTTTCGTCAAATGAATGAAAAAAGGAAACAAATTTATAAATTTCTTTTTTTTCTTTTGCATTTCAAAGTGAAAGACGACAAGGAAATGAAACAACTCGCCAATGAAGAATTGACAATATATAAAAATTCATTGAAAACAATTGATGAGAATCTTATCGAAAAATTATCAATATGTCTTGGACGTGATTTATGTGAGAATATAATATTAGAAATTACTGCCGGCGTTGGTGGACAAGAATCAATGTTATTCGCTTATAATTTATTGGAAATGTATTGTCATCATTTGAATTATTTAGATTATAATTATGAATTTATTGATCGTGATATGACGGCAATTGGTGGTATTCGTCATGCAAGTATTACAATAAATGGACAATTTTCATATGAAAAATTTCGTCATGAAGCTGGTATTCATCGTGTTCAACGAATACCAATAACTGAAACATCAGGACGTATTCATACAAGTGTTGTTTCAGTTGTTATTTATCCACAACCAAATGAAATTGAAGTTAAAATAAATGATAAAGATTTACGTATTGATACATTTCGTTCGACTGGCGCCGGTGGACAAAATGTTAATAAAACTGATTCGGCAGTAAGAATTGTTCATATACCAACAAATACTGTTGTTGAATGTCAAGCTGAAAGATCACAAATAAGAAATAAAAAAATTGCAATGATTAAATTGCGTACAAAAATTTATGAGACACGTCTTAATGAACAAGTGACGAAAAATCGTGATATACGACGTAAACAAATGGGTTTTAAAAATCGTAACGAGAGAATTCGTACTTATAATTATATGCAAGATCGTATTACTGATCATCGTCTTGTGAATGGAACATATTTTGGAATGGATTGTTTTATGAAAGGAGGTGTTAAATTAAATGAATTACAGGATAAATTGCAAAGGAATTATGAGAGAAAATTATTAATTGACATAATCAATGAGAATGAGAAGAAAACAAGATGAAGATATTTTTTTTTTTTGTATGAAATTGGAAATTTTTTTCTGCAATTAATTCGATAATTGAATTTTTTTTGGAAAATAAAATTTGATAAATTTTTTTTTCGAAATTGTCGAATAATTGAATCATTTTTTTTTTTTTTTTTGGGGAAAATGGGAAATAAAAAAATTTTTTTTTTTTTTTTGCAAAAATAGATAAAGAGAAATTAATTTACAAATTTATGCAGGGGAAAAAATTAAAAGTTACAAATAATATATAAAATTAATTTCTCAAGAGAGAAAGATTTTTTAAAATTGGAGGATTTTTTTTTTTTTTTTTTTGTAATTTTATAATTTTTTTATTTATAAAATATTTCAAAATTTGTAAAAATTAAAAATAAAATCTTCATTTAAATATCAAAAATTTTTTTTGGCAAAATTAACAAAATATTTTGTTACTTCTAAATATTTTTTTTTTTAAATTTTAATAAGAAAATAAAATTTTTCTTCTTATCAATATGAATTTTAATAGAAAAAAAAAAATTTTTTTTCTGTGAAAGAAAATTTTAGTTAATGAATTAAAAAATAAAAATGGAAATATTAATTTAAATCCTAATTTTCCATTTAAAAAAATATTTATAATTTATAAAACAAATATTAAACAATGAATGAGAAAATACTTTTATAATATTTAATTTAGAATTCTGAAAAAATTGAAAAAATTTATGGAATATTAATTAAAATTATAAATGTAAAAAAATTCCATTAAACTTTATACTAAAATCTTTTTCAAAGTTTTATTTAGAAATAAATAAATTCCATAAATTCTTTATCATTTTCCGTAATAATAATAATAATAATAATAATAATAATAATAATAATAATAATAATAATAATAATAATAATAATTCAGAAATATTTGAAAAATTAAGAGAAAAAAAAATTAATTTTGTAAATATTGCGATAAAATTTTGAAAAACTTTTTTTTTATAGAAAAGTTTTAGAAAATATGTACAAATTTTTGTAAATATATTAATAATATTTATATAATAGAAAAAAATAAAGTGACTAGAAAAATTTTAAGTGTGAAAATTTATTCTTTTTCTACATTTTTGATTTTCAATTATTTTGTTTTATTTTGACAGTTTTAAATTTACAAAACCTTAATTTACCTCAAACTTCGTTGGAAAAATATTTTTTTTTTTTTTGTACAATTTTTGTGAAATTACATTCAGTGAATAATTCAAAAATGGAACCTCAACAGGAGGTAATTAATAATTTTTAATGTTTAATTTAGAAAAAAAAAAGATAACAAAAATTAAAATTCTACGATTTGAATAAAAAAATAATTAATTTTTCACTTTAATCTCTTTAAACGTTAATTAAAATAAATAAAAATTTATTTACATTTTTGAAATTATTGATTTCTTAAAAAAAAGAACTTTAGCACAACTTTTTATATACAAAAAAAATGAAAATTTATTTTTCTACAATTTTGTAATTGTTAAAATTCTATTTATGTTTATATTTATTTTTTTTACATAATTATTATATTTTTATTTATATATTATTGTCATTATATATTTACTATGTAGTTATTTATTAATTTTATTTAAAAAAAAAATTTGTTTCTCTAATTTTTTTTTAATATTAATTTTTATAATTGTTAAAATGATTTTATTTATTTATTTTTTTTATTATTTTTTTAGGCGAGAGACAATAATAAAGAAGACAAAATTCATGAAGTAAAAACTTTATTACAAGAAGTGGTGGAAGTGAAAAATTTAAATTTTTCCAATCAAGAATCTTGCGGTGATTGGAATAATGTTTCAAAATGGAATGAAAAATCATTTTTAAGTGAAAATGAAGAATTAAAGACAACATGGAGAAGTCGTAATATTTATAATAGTATTCCAAAGACAAAATTTCGTGCTTATTGGCAAGATCGATTTTCTGATTCAAAAAGTAAGTATGGAAATTAAAAAATTTTTTTTTTTTAAATTTATTATTATTATTATTATTTAAATTTATATCTTTTACATTCAAAAAATGGTTAAAAAAAATCTTTTTTTTTCACTTTTATTTAATAAATTTCAAATATAATATTTAGTTTACAATTTTAATGAAATTTCTTCTTAATTAGGTTTTTTTTTTTTTGAATTAGAAATTCAATAAAAATTTCAAGGTAAATTAAATTGAAATTTTGAATTAAATAATTATAATTAAATTAATATTGCGAAATTTTTAATTTTATTTTATAATTAGATTTTGTTTTATTTAATTTAGATTTTTAATTAATTTTTTGATTTAATTAATTTTTTTTTTATTAATGACAATAATTAATTTAATTTTTTCAAAATTTTTCATAGAATTTGTGTAATTAAAAAGAATTTTTTTCTTTCTTCTTTTTTTTTTGTTAATTTTATTAGATTTAAATTTTGATTCGTCGCTGATGAAAATTGGAGAAACAAATTTTCTATCAAATTTTCGTGATTTTCTCGCCACATATCAAGAATCAACTGGTACACCATCAACTGAATATTCATTTGTGTCATTAATTAAAGTTTTGGGTGAAGCGACGGGAAAATCTTTACTCGCATTGATTTATATTATTGTCAATACGGCTCCAGTTATTGAGGTAAATTTTTTATAATTATTTTTTTTTTCTTATTGCAAAAATTATAAATTTTACACGTGAAATAGAGAAAAAAAAATAATTTTTTTTTAATTATTTAAAAAAAAAAGAATAAGAATAATTCACATGAATTTTTTATCTTGAATGAAATTTTTAAATAAAATCAAAATCATAAAAATTCAAATACAAAAAAAAAAAAAAATTAGAAATACAAAAATGTAAAAAAAAAATTCACGGTAAAATTTCTTAAAATTAGGAGAAATTTTAATTTGTTGCAAAAGAAAAGGAAGCATTTTGAAAAATTTGAAATTTTATAATTTTATGTTGAAATAAAAAATTTTAATTTTAATTTTAAAATTAGGAGAAATTTTAATTTATTGCAAAAAAAGAAGCATTTTGAAAAATTTGAAATTTTATAATTTTATGTTGAAATAAAAAAATTTAATTTTTGATATATTTTAAAATTAAATTCAAAGTTAGATAATTTTTTTGATTTAGAAAAATTTAATAAAAATTTTAATTGAAAAAATTAGAAAAAAATGAAATTAATAAATTCTTTCTAGATTTTTCTCTACATTTTGAGATTTATTCTGGACAAATTGATCAGCATTCGAGCAGCTGAAGATTATCGTCAAATTTTTATTAAATCAATTATTCTTCTTATACAATTTCTCAGTATTTACATTTGTTTAGCATTTATATTTGGCTTTATTTTAATTCCAATAGTACAAATTGTCTTTAATATAATGACAAGAGTTATGTTGTTTGATCGATAATTTAAAGAAATAGAAATTAAAAATTTTTGTTCTAAAAAAAGGGGGGGTATTTAAAAAATGAAAATAATTGAAAAAAAAAAATTTTTTTTTTTTATTTAAATAAAAAATAGATTTTTAATTTGTTATAATAAAAATTGTTTTGTTATAATAATAACTTTTTTTTAAAAAGTTTCAATAGTTAAAAATTTTTTCTTGTAATTTTCTTTTATTTTTCAATTTTATTTAATAAAAAAAAATAAAAGAAGGAAATTAAAAGAAATTTTTAATTCTTTAAAAATTTATTGAAAAATATTTTTAGAAATAATGATTTGGTTATTATTTTAAAATCTAATTTTTAATTTTTATATTCTTCAAATTTTGACCTCAAAACATTATTTTTCAAAAAAATAACAAAAAATTAAATTTTTAAAATAATAATAATAATAATAAAATTATTATTATTAATAAAAGAAAAATGATTTTTTTTTACATTTAAATCGTTTATTACATATTTTACAAATAGATATTTATAATATTTTTTTTTTTTTATCTAATTTCGGACTAATTTTATAATTTGCAGCCAGAAAAAATACGCTTTTATTTTTTTATTTAATTTTACGTTTCGATTTCTTAAATCTAAAATATTTTATAAATAAGTACGCAGTAATATTTTTCTTTTTTAAACATGCGTTTTTGAATGTACTCTGAGAAAAGTCATTGAATTTTTTTTTATTGAAATTAGATGTAAATATTTCAAAATATGACGAGAAAAAATGAGAAGGAAATGAATTTCCTTTTTTTTTTTTTTGAATCTCGTCTATATTTACATAGTAGTATAAAATCTACGTTATCGACAAATCTAAAATGAATTTTCTCTTATATGACACAACGATAAATATATCCTTCGATATAATCGGTATCAAAAATGACATTCTTTTTCTCCTTAATTATTTAAATTATTTTCTTCAAAAAAAAAATTTCTTCTTTTCGTTTTTAAAGAAATTTTTTTTTCTATTTTTGGACTTGAAATGAATTTACAATTAAAATGATTTTCATTTAAATTATTAAAAATTATATGAAATCTAAATTTTATTTGTAAATATTATGTTATATATTTTATTTTTAAAATTAATTTATATCAATAAAATAATTTTTTATCAATGGTAAAAAAAATGTTTAAATTAAAAAAAAAATTATAATTTACTGTTTGCTCTTTAAATTATATTATTTAAAAATACAACATTTAAATATAAAATATTTTCTAAATTTACTTATTTTCTCTTTTTGATGATGATGATATTTTTAAATTTGTACAAAAATTTCTATTTTCAATTTTTTTTTTTAATAATAAAAAAAAACCAAGAGAAAAATCAATTTTCATGGTATTAATTTTATGCAATTAAGAAAAATGAATAATTATTAATATAGTTTCGTAGTTAAAAATTTATTAAATTAATAATAATATTAAAGTCGCGCGCAATTTTTCATTTGAGTTAAAAAATTAATCAATGGCGCCATCTACACCTACATTATCGACTGAACATAGATTGGAAACTAACGGGAAAAATTTTTTTCTTTGTGAAAAAATTCAATTACTTTTTTTTTTTAGAAGAATATAAAAAAAAATTATATTTAAATTGAATTATATTAAAATATAATTAAATAAATAAAAATTATTTTGATATTATTTGTTTTAATATAAAAAATAAAATATAACAAAAAAAAAAAAAAATTTGAAATAATTTTTAAATTTCAACTTTTAATTGTAATTAATTTTAATTAACAACTAATTTATCAGTAATAATTGTACAGATAAATATGAAAATTTTGTGGAAAATTTCCTCATTTAAATAAATATTATAATCTATTTTGAAACGATTATAAAAATATTAACCTGTGAAAATTGAAAAAAAAAAAATTAAATAAATTAAAATTTAAAAAAATAAAAAAAAAAAAAAACAAAATTAATAATTTAATAAGTGAAAATTAGAGGTATGATAAAAATGAAAAGAGAAAAATTTGAAATATAAAATGATGAAGCTGAACTCCATCCACATTCGAGATCTTTTTTTAGAGCATCAGAAACTGTCATATTATTTTTGTTCATACAAAATGTTTCCCTTAAATCATCGTCCCAACCATTGTCCCAACAATTAAATTCGCTGTCATCCTCGCGTTCATAATTCGTTAATTCATAATGTGAATTGCAACGATCCTCTTGATATTGTCTGTGCTTTCGTTGCCACATTTCAATCCATCTAAAAAAAAAATCGTAATTCAAAATTTTCTTTAAAAAAAAACAGTTTTTAATTAAAAAAATTTTTTTTTTTATTATTTTTTATTTTTAACAATTTTTTAAAGATTTTTTAAAAGTTTTTTGTAATTAAAAAAATTAGTTTTTAGTTTTTTTTTTAAATTTTTTAAAAATTTAATTTAATTTCCAATTTTTTTTTTCTTTTTTTGAAAATAAAATTGAATTATAAAAATTATTTTTGGAATTTTCGAAATTTTTTGAAAAATTTTACCCAATATCGCAGTCACAATTTAAATGACTTCCGGCCATTCTGAGCCTCATGAGAAATCTTTTTCCGGGCACACTTGGCTTATGAGCAGACGATGGATTCATCAATGTTCTCACATCATTATTATAAAGATCAATTGTAATATTTCTCACAGAAATTGCATTCGTGAATAAATCACGATGAATTGTACTGATACTTGTATTACGAAGACCAAAATGTAAATGTGGACTTTTCATTCCCTTAATGAACAAAAAAATAAAAACCAATTCAAAATTCAGTATATGATATCAGAATTATAAAATAACAAATATAAATGACAAAATTAAATTACCATCAAAATATCGTTGTGCAAATGTTTGAAATTACGACCGCTAAATGTGAAATTATAAAGTTTTACTGGAAATTTTCCCTTCATTTCTTTCTCGAGACTTGTCTCATTATGCACCTGTAAAGAATTTTTTTTTTCTAATTAAAACTATTTTTAAATTTCGCGCCAATTTTCTGTTAGTTTTGAAAAAAAGTGTTCTGCATTACCGACCAAACATTGATTTATCATTCTACATTTAGTCGCTAATGAAGAACAATTTTTACGACTGTTCTGCTTTACCGAACAAATGTATAATGATAAAATCTATGTTTGGTCGGTAATGCAGAACAGTCGTGAAAATTGTTCTTCATTACCGACCAACATAGATTTATCATTATACGTTTGTTCGGTAAAGCAGAACAGTCGTAAAAAATTCTTCTACATTACCGACTAAACCTAAAGTGGTCAATAGTCGATAAAACAGAACACTTGTGAAAATTGTTCTGTATTACCGACTAAACGTAGATTAACCACTCTAGCTTTGGTCGGTAATTCAGAATACTTATGAAATTTTTTCTTTGTAAAATATTAACAAAAAAGTAGCGAAAATTTTTACTCACATGAATAAACAAATTCTTGAGTCCATGATTATATTCAAGAAGATTTGGAAAATTAAAACGTTTTATTTCCGTATATGCAGTTATGAGAAGAGTTCGAAGTTTCGATGCTTTACAAAGAGCTCCTGCCTGAAGAATAAAACTTTTTTTTTTATTTATTTTTTAAACAATTAATTATTCTCTGAAAAATGCAATTTTTCTTTTTGTTGAAAACTAAAGTATTTAAAAAAGTATTTTAATGTTTTAAATTTAAACTTTTTTTTAAAATTCGCGCGCTTTTTTTAAGTTTATTTGCGCCATCTACATCTGCTTTACCAATAGAACGTAGATTGGAATCTTCAAAAGTAGAACAAAAAATTCTATTTCATGGAAATATTAAATTTTAATTTTAGTAAAATTACTTTTTTTTGCTTTAAAATAAAAAATTTTACCTCAAAAATCGATAGAGTCAAGCCTCGAATATCCAATTCTTCGAGACTATCGGCAACACCCAGAAAACTTGTGTTAGTGATAATTGTAATTGGATTGTAGGCCAAATTAAATGATTTTAATTCTGGAAGTGCATGAGTGATGAGTGGAACTACCGTTAAATCATTGTAACTTAAATCTAAATATCGTAGACTTGTTAAATTTGCCGCCATTTCCGCTGGTACTGATGCCAATTCATTGTGTGCCAAATGAAGAGTTTGAAGTCGATGAAAAGGTAGATCAGGAACCTAAAATTAATTTTTAATTTAATTTAATTAATTTAAATTTTATTAAATTAATTTAAATTTTTTAAAATTAATTTATTAAAAATATTACAAGAAAAAAATTAGGGCAATTTGAATTTCGCGCGCAATCTACATTACCGACTGAACATAGATTGGAAATTCTCTTTGTAAAAAAGTGCAGAAAAAAAGATATGCGACGTCTAAAATAATTTAATTAAGAGAATTTAAAGAAAAAAACTTTTTTTTTTCTTTTTCTTTTCATTAAAAAAAAAAAAAAAAAAAAACTTACACTAAGTAGTGAAATATTGCTAAGTCCCAGAAACAAAAGGGAATCTTCCAAACCATGAAAAGTTCGTCCACGTTGTTCCAAAATTAATTGTTTATTATGGCTTAAATCCAAATAATCCAAATTGTGTAAATCCGAAAATATTCCATCGTCCAGTCTTACTAATCGATTGTAAGAAAGGTCCAACCATGTCAATCCCTGGTATTTTTTAAGAAACAAAAAAAAATTTGTTTTCAGTAAAAAACAAAATTTTTTTACTAAAACTAATTTTTTACATTAATAATAATTTTTTTTTTAAAAAAAAAAAAAATTTTATATAAAAAAGAATAATTAATTATTATATTGCATTTAACCTCAAAAAAACGTTTTGACAATAACATAGAATACAAAAATTCAATTTAAATAGTAAAATTTTTTTTTTAAGAAAATTTGTAAATAAAAATCATATTCCTATTTACAAAGTCTTTAAAACAAAAAAAAAACCTTAATTAGATTAGCGAGTTGCCTACATATGAAAATCTATAACATGAATTAGTTAATTGCCTTAAAAAAAAGAATCGAATCCAATCATGGAATTCGCTCATTCTTAAGGCTTAGTCTAATTAAAATATAATTTAATTATTCCACAGTTTGCTCATATTATAATGCCTCATCGGGGAAAAAAAAAAATTTTTTTTATCGCTTTTCCAAAATTTAACCTTTAAATAATATAAAAAAATAGAAAAAAGCAGAAAATCTTCCAAAAATTATATTTTCAATTTAAAAAAAATAATAAAAATAAATAAAAAATTATATTCAACTATTTTTTCCCAATGTTCACACGAGCACTCTTCAATTATTCCAAATAATGCGAAAAATATGAATTACAAAATATTTTATTCACTTCGAAAGTCGTGAGGTGATGAAAACTAGTTATTGTCCTCACTTCACGACTTTAAATTTTTGTCAAATTTATCAGAATTAAAAAAAATTATTCTATTTTAGATAAAATTATTTTTTAGAAGTGAAAAAATGTATAAAACTAAAAAAAGTAAAAAAAATAATAAAAAAATATTTTTTTCCCGATGTTCACACGAGCACTATTCAATTATTCCAAAAAATGCGAAAAATATTAATTACAACATATTTTATTCACTTCGAAAGTCGTGAGGTGGTGAAAACTAGTTATTGTCCTCACTTTACGACTTTAAATGTTTGTCAAATTTATCAGAATTGAAAAAAATTATTCTACTTTAGATAAAATGACTTTTTAAAATTGAAAAAATGTATAAAATTAAAAAAAGTAAAAAAATGATAAAAAAATATTTTTAAATATTTTTTTCCCGATGTTCACACGAGCACTGTTCAATTATTCTAAAAAATGCGAAAAATATTAATTACAAAATATTTTATTCACTTCGAAAGTCGTGAGGTGGTGAAAACTAGTTATTGTCCTCACTTTACGACTTTAAATGTTTGTCAAATTTATCAGAATTGAAAAAAATTATTCTACTTTAGATAAAATGACTTTTTACAAGTGAAAAAACGTATAAAACTCATTTTTAATATTTCAAAGTCAATAATCAAATTCAATCACTAAATTTACTCACCCTTAACCTAAAAATGGCATCGGTACTGTGAACACCCGATAATAAATTCCACGAGAGATCCAATGACGAAAGACTGGCGGCAGCAGTCATTGACATAACCTTTATTGGCAATCTCATAAATTGATTGTGCGAGAGATCCAAACTCTCGATATAAGCCTCATTAAATAAATTATCTGGTAGCGTGCGAAGTCGATTATGTGAAAGATCAACAATTCGTAATTTTTTTAATTGTCGAAATGTTTCAGCTGGTATATCCATTATATTATTCCACGATAAAAATAATACTTGAATATTTTTTGTATTTCTAAAGCAATCAAAGTCAATTTCCATTAATTCATTGTAACTCAAATCAAGCCATTGTAGATGTGGCATATTACCAAAAACACCTTGCGTTACATTATTGAGCTCATTGTGCGATAGATAAAGGTGCGTTAGTGAATATTCAACAGGTCTAAAATACATTTTTACAATATCTGTTATATTATTGAAACTTAAATCCAATACTTTGATATTTGAGTTCAATATACTTCCCACTAAAAGTAGAAAGAATAAAAAATTAATTTAATAAATTCAATTTTTGCCATCGTGTAGAATAAGTTTATAAAAAAAAAATTAATTAATTTTTCATTTTTAATGTTTTTATTTACAATTAAAATTTTGAGGTGAGAGAAAAAGCGCCTCTAGCGGAATTTTTTTTTATTCACTTACTGTTTATTGTTGATGTATACATTGAGGCATTCATTGACAAATGAGAAATTTCATTGTGACTGACGTTTACTTTAAATGACGAGAGAGTTCCCACTTGATCGAAATAATTAAAGTCAAATTCATTTAAATCATTGTAAGCCAAGTCTAAAAATTCCAAATCTGGCAGATTCTGAAATATCAAAATAATTCTATCTATAAGAGGATTTTATTTTAAATATACATTACCGACTGTTGGTTAGAGAAAAACCTACATTATCGACTGTTGGGTAAGTGGTAATCTACTTTACCGACCGTCGGCTAAATAGTAATTTTCTTTATCGACCGTCGGTAAATTTTTTTTTTTATTTAACCTACTAATTTTCCTTACCTGAAATGCCTCGTCTGCAATGCTTCTAATTTTATTTCCTCGCAAATTAATGTACTTCAATCGATTCATATTCATAAATGCTCGCCTTTCTATTCTGTCGATAATATTATCTTGCAAATTAATTGTGGTTAACATTATTAAATCGACAAATGTATGTGTTGTAAGTGCCTGTATTTGATTATATTCAAAAAAGACTTCCTCTAAACTCGAATGAATGTCACCCTGAAATTAAATTTTTTAAAAAATTAATTAAAAAAAAAATTAATACAAAAAAGAAAATTAGAATATAAATAGTTTTGTGCCATTTAGAAAATAATAATTTTTCAAAAATTAACAAAAAATATTAATTTGTTTAAAAATTATAGATAATAAAAGTCGCGAGGTGGAGTATATAATTTGGCGATTTTTTATAAATTGGAGAAAATTTTTATTTTTATAAAGGAGAAAATTTATCATTTTTTTGGAAAGAAAATCTTTTTTTCTGTGATAGCAAAGAGATAAAAATAAATTTGATATTTTAATAATAAAAAAGAATCTACGAAAATTTAATTTTCCTAACCTAAAAATTTTGGAAAAAGTAGAGGTTATGTTACTCACTTGGAATGTTCCTTTGCGTATACTGTCAATTTCATTGTCCTGCATTTCAATTCGTTTAATTCTCTTTAGAAAATGAAAAGATGTATCGGGCATCGATCTAATTCGATTATTACTAAAATCGAGATGTTGTAAATTTGTCAAAAATTTAAATGGTCTACTTGGTAATTCACTTATCGATGTTGAAAGGCCATGAGCAATTTTCAAAGTCAACAACGAATGTCCAACCTTTTTAATATAAAATTAAAAAAAAAATTATTATTTATTTTTTATTAAATAATTAGTTAATTAATTTACTCATTTATTACCTAATTCATAAATTATAAAATTAATTAACTAATTAATCAACTAATAAATAAACCAATTAATTAAATAATTAAATTAACAATTTATTAACAAATTAATTAAATAATTAATTAACTAATTTATTATCTAATTAATTAACAAATTTATTAACAGATTAATAAATTAAATAACTAATTAATTGAATACTTAACCAATTAATTCAGTAATTAATTAAGTAAACTAAGTAAATAATTAATTAACTAATTTATTATATAATTAATTAACAATTTAATTATTTAACGTACTAATTAATTAACAAATTAATTAAATAACTAATTAATTAAATAATTAATTAACTAATTAATCAACCATTTAATTAATTAACTAATTTACTTACGAATAATCAACAAATTTTTTAACAGATTAATAAATTAATTAACTAATTAATTTATTGAATACTTTACCAATTAATTCAGTAATTAATTAAGTAAACTAAGTAAATAATTAATTAACAATTTAATTAATTACCGTACTAATTAATTAACAAATTAATTAAATAATTAATTATTGAATACTTAACCAATTAATTCAGGAATTAATTAAGTAAACTAAGTAAATAATTAATTAACAATTTAATTAATTAACGCATTGAATAATTAAATAATTAATTAACTAATTTACTTACGAATTAATTAACAAATTTATTATTTTTTTATTAATTATTAGTTAAATATTTAATTAGCTACTTAATTAACTAATTATTTAACTAATTAAATAAACAATTAATTAACTAACTAATTTAATAATTAATTAACAAATGAACAATTTATTAACGAGTTAATTAAATAATTAATTAACTAATTTATTATCTAATTAATTAACAAATTTATTAACGGATTAATAAATTAATTAACCAATTAATTAATAGAATAATTAACCAATTAATTCAGTAGTTAATTTAGTAAACTAAGTAAATGATTAATTAACAATTGAATTAATTACCGTTCTAATTAATTAACAAATTAATTAAATAACTAATTAAATAATTAATTATTGAATACTTAACCAATTAATTCAATAATTAATTAAGTAAACTAAGTAAATAATTAATTAACAATTTAATTAATTAACGCATTAAATAATTTAATAATTAATTAACTAATTTACTTACGAATTAATTAACAAATTTATTAACGGATTAATAAGTTAACTACCTAATTAATTTAATAATTTATTAATTAATAATCTATTATTTTTTTATTAATTATTAGTTAAATATTTAATTAGCTTCTTAATTAACTAATTATTTAACTAATTAAATAAACAATTAATTAACTAACTAATTTAATAATTAATTAAAAATTTTACTAATTTTTTCCCCACAAAAAAATTTGATAATAAAAAAAATTTTTTTTTTAAATAACTATTTTTCCAAATAATATTACCTCGGAAAATGCGTCTTCCTCAATTGATGAAATAGAATTTTCAGAAAAATCCAAAAATTTAATTCCACGAATATGCATAAATGCATGACTTTTTATTGTATTCATATTACTTTGTATAATATGTAATTCTTTAACGTCCATTCCAAATTCAGAGAAATCATCAGGTGACAATGATGTTAATGGCATCATTGATATTGCCAAAAAACGAAGATTTCTCATTTGTCGTAAATTTTGCAGTGCAACCATTGAATTTTTTTTACCACTCAAATCCAAATTGTAAAGTGAATATTGAAAGCCATTGAATACTTCTGAAACATTATTTGTGGCTATACAGAAAATTATTTATTAATTAAAATTGTGTCCCAAATTATTGCTCTAAATAAAAACCCTCAAAAATTATAATTAATATTTGTTAAAGAAAAAAAAAAAAAAAAATTTATACATATCTAAATATAATAATTATTATATTTATATACCCGTGTGGAAAAGTGATGTGGGCCCCCAGCGGGGGCCCTTATGGATCGCCCTCATGCCATGAGGGCCGCATATGGATGATCCATAGGGGCCCCTCATGGAAACGACATGCTCATCGATGAGGGCGCCCGCATGGGCGATCCATGAGGGTGCCCCTACGGGCGCCCTTATGGGCCCTCACGTTTGCCCTCATCTTGCCCTCAAGTTTGCCATAATGTTTTTTAATCAATAATATTAATAATAAAAGTTTATTAATAATAAATAAGCTTAAGTTATGAATAAATAACATATTTATTTAATAATTATTCAATTTTAAATTAAATTCTTACTCAAATTCAATTTATTAATTAACGTTCTAATTAATTAACTGTCGGATATAATTAAAAGTAATAATAAATTAATTAATTAAAAAATTAAAAAATATTTAATTTATGCATACTATTAACGGATATTTTCATTTTTCAATTAATTCATACATAGAATTAATGATTAAACGCAAACCTGAGAAATAAATAAATCTAACGCATGGGGGGAATCGAACCTACGACCTACGGACTATGAGTCTAACGCTTTACCAACTACGCTACGTACGCTACTTCAAAACGAATGCTAACTTCTTGATGCTATTTAAACTTCAAAAATACCTAACAAAGAAAAGTGCTTAACATCATTTAGTTAAAGTTAAGATATTAAATTATATTTTCCAATCAAATGCAATTTATAAAATATAATTAATTATATGCTTTATGATTATTATCATGAATCATCTCAGGCGAATTTTCAAAAAAGTGTAAATATATTTTTATTAAAAACGCGTTTTTCGTTGTTTTAAATCATTGGAAACATTCATTTTTTGTTGATAAAAAAATATTTGATTTTTGGACTTAGAAAATTTTGCTAATCGATCATGAGGGCGATCCATGCGGGCCCCTACGGTGGCCCTCATCTATTTTGCCATAAGTGTGAGTGTTATTTTCAAAAAAGTGTAAATATATTTTTATTAAAAACGCGTTTTTCGTGGTTCTGAATCATTATAAACATTAATTTTTTGGTGATAAAAAAATATTTGATTTTTGGACTTAGAAAATTTTGCTAATCGATCATGAGGGCGATCCATGCGGGGCCCCTACGGTGCCCCTCATGGATTCGCCATAAGTGTGAGTGTTATTTTCAAAAAAAGTGAAAATATATTTTAATTAAAAACGCGTTTTTCATTGTTGTGAATCATTATAAACATTAATTTTTTGGTGATAAAAAAATATTTGATTTTTGGACTTAGAAAATTTTGCTAATCGATCATGAGGGCGATCCATGCGGGGCCCCTACGGTGCCCCTCATGGATTCGCCATATGGATCAGCCCTCATGGGCCCCCGCCGGGGGCCCCGAACTCTTGAGGGCAAGATCGTGGCTTTTTCCACACGGGTAGTTTTTTATTTTTATTATTATATTTAGAAATGTTAAGAAAAAATCGTGTTGTGTTAAAAAATTTGTTTCAATTCACTGTATTCTATATTTGTCAATATATTTTTGTTTTAATTGTGTTTTGCAAAATATTTGAAAAATATCATTTTATTAAAGTGAACAAATTAATAACAGAAAAAATAAATTAGAGAAAATAATTTATAAAAATTAAAATTAATTTTCTTTATAGAAAAAAAAAAAAAAATTAAAATTAATTTTCGAAATAAAAATAAAAAAGTAAAATTACAAAAATCAAAGTAAAAAAATTTCCATGGATATAAATAAATAGGAATATAATAAAAAAAAAATTGTACAAAAAATATGCCAATTAATAATTTTTTTAATGTGAAATTTTTAATTATTATCTAAAAATTATTATTATTATTATTATTATTATTATTGAAAAATTTTAGAAAAAAATTTTTTTTTTGTATTTTGAAAAAAGAAAATTATTTCTCACCTGGGGCAAAGGAGTCAATGTTATTTTCCCTAAAGATGAGCGTTCGTAAAAAGTCAAATTCTTGAAAAAGATGCGGTGGCAATTCGGTAATATTATTGCCCGATAAATCCAATAATTCCAATGATGATTCAAGTCCGGCAAAATTTTCGGAATTCACTTCCAATAAATCACAGTCTGTGAAGTAAAGCTCGTGAATTCGTGAATCACGAAATGCACCTTCCTACAAATAATTTGATATACTATTATTTTCATTTTCATATATACAGTAAAACCTGTCATATTTAGATAATTTTTAAAAAAAGAAAAAAAGTAATTAAGTAGAATTTCTATTTTATAAAGTTTTTGTAATAATTGTCACTTTAGTCATATATATACAGTAAAACCTCTCTTAGTGAGACAGATTTGAAATTTTATCTATAGCTAATGCTAAATTACTTTTCGTTAAAGGGAAAATATTTTACTTTTTTCTTTTATAATTTTTATATTTTTAAATATATATTTTTTTTAATATACAGTAAAACCTCTTTAATAGAACCTTTATTATTAGACTATTAATTATTTTTGTTCAAGAAAGAGCATTAGTAGGAACTGTATTTTTTTCAAAATAATTTAGTACTAAAATAGTACTAAAATAATTTTAGACATACAGTAAAATCTCACTTAATGAGACACATCCGATATATTATTTATAACTGACGCTAAATAACTTCTTGTTAAAGAAAATTTTATACTATTTTTTTTTATAATTTTTCTATTCTACTATAATTTTTTTACACACAGTAAAACCTCTTTTAATGAACCACTGCATTAAAAAAAATTTTTTTTAATTTAAATATAAATAAAATAATTAAAAATAATAATAATAATAATAAAGAAAATTATTGATAAAAAAATTGCAGTAGTGTAACCAATTATAAAAAAAATTGCTCCTACACTAGAACCTCTATCAAAGAACTTTGATACAAATTATTTTGTGTGCATAATTTATTTTTGATTATTCAAAACAAAATTTTAGTATTTAGAAAATATCTATGATTTTTTTTACAAAAAAAAAAAAAAAATTCTAATTTTAATTATACAGTAAAACCTCTCTAGATGAATTCACATCCAATAAATCACAGCCTGTAAAGTATAGTTCGTGAATTCGAGAAACTCGAAAAGCACCTTCCTACAAGTAATTTTAATATACTCCTTATTATTGTCATTGTCGTATTATACAGTGAAACCTCTCATTGTGAAATACATCGCTAATTAAATTCTAAATTTATTTAAAATTTGTTTTAAAAATTTTATTTATTTAAAATATAATTAGAATTATTAAAAAAAAAATTAAATTAAATTAAATTCTTTCAATTTTTAAAAGAAATTTTTTTTTATATAAGAATATACAGTGGAACCTCTCTTGAGGGATGCTTGAAAAAAATATTAATTAAAAAAAATCATATAATTTTTTTGATTTGTTTTTTTTTTAGAGAAATTTATGTTATTTATAGAAATTTTTTTGTTTTATTACAGTTATTTCGAGTAAACAGTAAAACCTTGTTTAGTGAACCCTTTCTTTTTTTGAATCTATTTTCCAACTATCGTCACTGGTATTTAACTATTTATTTATTTAATTATAACTATAATTAAATAATTTTAAAAAATACATTTTTTTCAAATACACTACAACCTCTTAAAGTGAGACATTAATTTCTTTAAGCATATGAATGCAACTTTTCCGTCACTAGTATTTAAACATAATTAAATAATTTACAATTTTTTTTTCAAATACAGTAAAACCTCTTAAAGTGAGACATTAATTTCTTTAAGCATATGAATGCAGCTTTTCCGTCACTAGTATTTAAACATAATTAAATAATTTACAATTTTTTTTTCAAATACAGTAAAACCTCTTAAAGTGAGACTTTAATTTCTTTTAGCATATGAATTAAAATTTTCTGTCATTATTATTTATATTAAATAAATGAAATAAATAAATACAAATTAATAAATGAAAAAAGTAAATGTTTTTTTAATACACTAAAACCTGTTAAAGTGAGACATTAATTTCTTTGAGCACATGAATCCAACTTTTTCCCTACTAGTATTTAACCATTTATTTAATTATAACTATAATTAAATAATTGTAAAAAATAAATTTTTTTCAATTACACTAAAACCTCTTAAAGTGAGACATTGGGTTTTTTTTAGCAATTTTTTCGTCACTAATATTTAACTGTAATTAAATAATTAAAAGAAAACAAATTCTTCTTTTCAAATACACTAAAACCTCTTAAAATGAGACATTAATTTCTTTAAGAATTAGAAATTGAATAAAAAAAATAATTTTTTTCTTTCTCTCTTTCAAATTACCTCAACAACAGTGATGGGATTTCCATTTAAATATGTTTTGTTGACTTTAAAAAAATGTTGAAATGAACCCATTTCCAAACGTTGCATTTGATTGTAATCCATTCTCAATACATCAAGTGATAATTGAACACCACGTATTTCCATTTCCATTTGTGGTTGTATCATTTTTGTTATTCGATTATAACTTAAATCGAGTACTTTCATTTTTTTTAATGACGACATTTGTGAATATGGAATATTTGTCAATTGATTGTCATTTAAATATAAATGTGTCAAATGTGCCATTCCATCGCGAAATACCGATGGATCAATGTCCTTTAAATTATTTTCACGTATATCCAATACCTCTAAATAGGCAAGTCCAGCAAATGCATCAGCTGGCAATTTATTAATTGCATTACGACCAAGACGTAATGTTTGCAATGAATTCTCAAGACCACGCCAATTGTCAGGAGCAATGTGCGAGATCTGATTACCTAGAATATATATATATATATATATATATGTATAAAATTTCATTTTACCTTGACATAAATTTTTTTTTTCCCTTTTGTTTTTCAATTCGAGTTTTTTTTCAGAAATTAGAATTAAAATATAAATGAAATAAATAGATATTTAATTTCAATGCAATTTTTTTTTTTTTTGAAATTTTACTAGTAGAAATTAAGAGAAAAATTTTTCCCTACAGTAGAACCTCGATAAGATGAAATTTATTTTAAAATAATGTGAAAAAATAAATAAAATAAATAGATTAATTAATATTTAATTTTAATGCAATATTTTCAAAATTTTACTAATAGGTATTGAGAGAAAAAATCCCCCCTACAGTATAACCTCGATAAGATGAAATTTACTTAGAAATAAAATTAAATAAATAAAATTTTTTAAAAATAAAACTTTAATACATTTTTTTTTTTGGAAAATTTTACTAATAGGAATCAAAAAAAAAAAATTCTACAGTATAACCTCCATAACATGAAACATAATTATAAAATAAAATAAATAAATTAAATTAATAAATATTAAATTTTAATGAATTTTTTTAAAAAATTTTATTAATACGAATCAAGAAAAAAAAATTGTCCCTACAGTAAAACCTCGATAAGATATGTTTGTCTATTTTTATTGAAAATTTAAAAAAAAAACGCATGTAATAAATAAATTTCGTTTTATTCTTAAAAAAATTTTGTTACTTTTATATAAATACAGTCGAACCTCTCAAATTGAAATACAATTGCAATTTTATTGCGTCCTTATACAATAGAACCTTTTTAATTGTCAATTCACAACTTAATTTTTATAAATATTTTTTACATTTGTAAATAATTATAATTATAATTATAAATATAAATAATTATAATTATAAATTTATTTATAATTAGAAACTTTTTATTTATATTATAAATTTTTTTAATTATATTATAAATTTTTTAATACAGTTGAACCTTCAAAACTGAGACCCTAATTGAGACTCATTATTATTGTATCAGGAATAATGAAACTAATTTTCTGGTTGAAAATAAAAAAAAAATTTCTGCATTTTTTCAGAGTACACTGAAACCTCTCTTAATGAGACATTTAGTTTTTTTTTTTATAAAGAAATTTAATAATTTTTCATATTTATGGTAAATAAAAAGAAAAATATTTAAAATTTATTAAAAGAAGAAAAATTAAAAATTTAATGGATACAGTGAAACCTTGTTAAAAGTAGAAATTTTTCTCTAATCCTATTATTATTATTATAGAAAAGTTGATAAATTTTTTTTGTTCGATATTACCTGTCAAATCAAGCAATCGGAGCTTTTGTAAATGTCTAAACGATTTGCTTGGTACTCTCGCGAGACGGTTGTAGGGTAATTCAAGCTCCCACAACGATCTTTCAAGCCCTAGGAACGCCTCGTCCGGTACATCCGATATGGGATTATACTTGATCTGCAGCTTGTAGAGACCTAAAAGACAAGCTTGTTGTCAATTTTGGATATACAATTACCCACGTGTTACCGAAAATTAAAAAAAAAAAAAAATTTTTTTTTTTTATTCCTAAGAAAGAAGAGTCTTTTTTTTATTCTTTTCTTTCTTTTGAATCATAAATGAAAAAATAATTTAATTTTTTAATTTTATTTGAAAAAACAAATTTTATTAAATAAATTTTAAATTTATTATTTTATTAATTTTTAAAAAAATTATTATATATGTAATAAATAATTTTATACGGCCCTGATTTTTTTTGATTTTCAATTTATTAATCAAATTTAATTGTGTTATAACGAATTTTCAATGTACAATTTAAAATTATTTTCTCGGATGCAATAATTAATTATTAAATATAATTATATAAATAAATAATTGTATTATTATAATAATTATTATATAAAAATCATTATAATATTAGTATATTTTAAATATAATTAAATTATAAATAATAATTATAGTGAAAATTAAAATAAAAAAATTATAATTAATAATTTATTAATATTAAAAATACAGTAGAACCTCTTTAATCATGTTTCATTTCTTTTTTTTGAAAAATTATTTTATAGAAAAAGTTTTATTTCTACCTAATAATTATATATAATTTTTGTTGTTTTTTTTTTTTTTTTTTTTTTTTTTTTTAATGTTTTCAAATTCTTTTTAATGCAGTTGAACCTTGTCTACTGGGACCTATCTAATTTAAAGATTTCTATATAAATATTGGAAAAGAATAATTAAATTTTTTTTTAATTTTACAATTTCCCTACTAATTGAAGTGGTTAATTAAAAAAAATTACATAAATTTAAAAATTTATTATTATTATTATTATTATTATTATTGCTCTATGCTTTGAAAGACATTTAATAAATTATTGTAAAAAAAAAAAATGCTGACTAATATCGTGGGTCGTTTTTCAATTTCAATCATTTAATTACTATTAGCATAATTTCTCATTGCTCTGATAATGATCAATTTTTTCTAATTAATTTATTTACCCTCCGGAGGCTGCGCTCCACCCACACATGTGTGATTCTGTAATTTGGCGAATTGATCAAGTCGAGAGAACTGAATCTTATGAAAGAATTATTTAAATTTAAATATTCAAATTTTTTTTTACAGTAAATAATTAATTATAATATAAAATTATATTTATAATATAATATATAATATATTATAATATAATTTATAAAATTATATTTATAATTTTATAATTGTTTAATTAATATTAATATTATACTTTTTTTTTAAATATATTTAATAATTAGTAATTAATTAATTAATTATTTTTCATTATCATAATGATTTAAAATAATTTTTTTTTACTACACTAGTACCTGTCTTATTGGGATAACTTAAATTGGAGATGAAAATAATTTTAGAGGTTTTCTTTTTAATGTAGGTACAGTAAAACCCTTTTTTAATTTTACGTGGAGAAAATTAATTTTTCATGAAAATTTTCTTATATTTATTGAAATACACTTGAAACTTTGTTATAACACATTTCATTTTTTTTTTAATATAAAAAGTGGTGATATATTTTTTTTTTCTCGTTCTCATAAAATTATAAAATTTGAATTATCCACATTTGGTTACATTTGAAAAATACACTGAAACCTCTATTATTGTTAGTTTTATCAAAATTAAAATTATAATATTATTATAATATAATATTTATTATTATTATAATTATTATATTATCTTTTTTTTTTTATTTTTCTCAAAATACAGTTAAACCTCACTTAATGAGACGACTTTTATTTTTTATTTTTTTAAATTTTAAATTCATTTTTTTTTTGAAACGAAATTTTTTTATTAATTAAAAATTTTATTAATTTTTTTAATTTTATTTTTTTATTTGTGAGATTAAATTTTTGTTAAAATTTTGATTCATTTTTTTTTTTTTTTTTTTGAAAGAAAAATAAAAGAAAAAAAATAATTAAAATAATTAATGAAATTAAGTACGTTTAAAAAAAAAAAAAAAAAAGAAAAAGAAAGGTTTCTCACCGGTATTGAGAAGGAATTGCGGTTGAAGGGAACGAAGCCCGTTGTTCTCCAGCTGTAGCATGAAGACCTTTGATGCATTAATGGGGTGAGGAATTCGTCGCATCGGCACATTATAACACGACACAATTCCTAAATCTGGAATTGCTTTTGAACATGTGCACAATGGATTGAAAAAACATGGTGGATATTGTACCGGAAGTTCGTGCATTCTCACCATTGACGCCCAAAACATTAGCAATATCACCACGATCATCATCGTGTAGCCTAATTTCACAAAAACTAGCGCGTTCTGCAAAAATTTTCCAAAAAAAAAAAAAAAAAAAAAAATAGAAAAAACGAAAAAAATAATTTCCTTTTTTGTTTTTCACTTTCTATTTTTTTACCATTTGCCTTTTTTTTATTTCACTTTTTTGTTAATAATAAAGAATTTTAAATTCTTTTTTTTTCTCCTAAAAATTCGTAAATATTTATTAAAAAATTTTTCTCCAAAATTTTGTTTCGTATTTACTCGAAAAGTATAGGAAATTTTACCAAAATAATATAGGAAATTTTACCAAAATAGTATAGCAAATTTTACCCGAGAAGTATGGGAATATTTATCAAAAGGATATGGAAAAATTTACCCAAAACAGTATAGGAAAATTTACCCCCCAAAAAAAAAAAAAAAAAACAGAAATTCTACTCAAAAAGTAAAGGAAAATTTACCAGAAGAGTATGAAAAAATTTACCAAAAAAGTATAGGAAAATTTACCCCCCCCCCAAAAAAAACTGAGAAATTCTACTAAAATAGTATAGGAAAATTTACTAGAAGAGTATAGTAAATTTTAACCCGTTAAAAATAGGACATTTTACTAGAAAATTATAATATAAAATTTATTAAAAGTTTATAGGGAAATTTGCACAAAAAATAGTATAGGAAAATTTACTAGAAGAGTATAGTAAATTTTAACCCGTTAAAAATAGGACATTTTACTAGAAAATTATAATATAAAATTTATTAAAAGTTTATAGGAAAATTTGCATAAAAAATAGTATAGGAAATTTTACTATTATTATTATATGAAAATTTATTACAAAAATTAGGGGAAATTTTATCAAAAAAAAAGTATAGTACAATTTTGCAGAAGAGTATGGTAAAATTTACCCAAAAAAAAATTGTTGGAAAAATTTTACTAAAATGTGTGGTAAAAATTACCAAAAAAAAAATAAAGAATAAAATAATCACAAAAATTATGTGAAATTTTTGCTAGAAAAGAATGAAAAAAATTTTTAAAAAAATTAAATTTACCACAAAAACAATGCGAAGAGTAATGGGAAAATTTAGTATTGGGAAATTTAAAAAAAAAAAAAGATTTATTTAAAAAAATTGTTTCTTGCACTTTTTTTCGAAGAAAAAAATTGTATTAATTTAAATTTGGTTTAATTTTTGCAAAAAAAAAAATTTTAACGCGTATTTGGTTATACCGAATTAAAAAATTAACATTTTTTTTTTCAATTATTTTTTCCCGAAAAATTTTTTAAATAATTTTTCACGTCAGTACTGGACAAAAGTTTTCACAAGAATGTGAAACGAAAAACGTATTTCTCGACGCGCACAAAGTTCTCTCCCCTAAATAATGAGATATATAAGATGCGAGGTAACATTTTCCGCCAAATATTTCAATGGTACAATTTGTGTGTGTGTGTGTGTGTCTTGCGCAAGAATATCTGCGTCGTTTATGCGCCCCCATTGACCCAATTGAATTCAATTAATTTAATTTGAAAATCTTTTCTATTAAAAAAAAAAAAAAATTAAAATTATGATAAATTGTAAATAATTTTAAATTTACCCGCCAAAATACTTTTATAAACAATTTCAAAAAAAAAAATTCCGAATTTTCTAAATTTTAAATAGTCAATTTTCAAAAAAAAAAAAAAACTATATAATAGCAGTAAAAAAGGAAATATTCAAAAAAATTTTGAAATAATTTTACCTCTTCCCTTATTCAAAAAAAAAGGAATATTTTTTAACTCCAAAAAAATTAAATTTACTATATAAAAACAGTTTATGAATCTTCTAAACAAATATACAGAAAATAATTTTAATTTAATATAAAATATAAAAAAAAAAATTATTAAACACTAATATATTTTTAATAAATATTATTAAATTTTTATTATTATTATTAAAAAATTATTTGTAAATTTAATTAATAATAGTAAAAAAAAGGAATACCAGATTTTTTCTTTTTAATTAAAAAAAAAAAAACAACTTTTTTTTTAGCACCAATGTTTTATAATTTAGGTGTATAATATTAATTTATTATCATCCATTTTCGAGCACTTTTTTCACAAAAAAATAAATAAATTCACAATGTCACAAAAAATTTATTTATCACACTGTCACACACACCGTTTGAAATAATTTTCATTTATTGCAAAAAAAAAAATGTTGCAAATGAAGATCAAAAAAAAAAAATAAATAAATAAAAATTACCATTTAATGCATGCATCAGCAGATGGCAAAAAAAGTAAGTGATTATAAGAGACGAGTGGCTATAAAGCAACTGAGAACAAGATTCATTCTAAGGGCCAACAACGTGTATATTCACAAACTGGGTGGGACAAAGTCCTATATAATATAGGGCTTCCAGAGTGCGCAGACAGTTTGGGTGCTTCTCTTTACCCGATTATATACACAGGTGATATTCTATTAGGTTTCAAATATAGTTGTGAAAAAAAAAATTATTTTTATATTTGTGCCACCGACCCGAAAACCCCCGAGTAACGAATTTTAACTAAATTTGATGAATTTGAAAATATTTATCCTCCATATTGGATTCGCCATGTTGAATTTTGAAAAACTGACTTCAAATTCGTAATCAGCGACCCTAAAAACCCCCGAGTGACGAATTTTACATAAATTTGACGAATTTCAAAAAATTTATCTGCCATATTGGATTCGCCATTTTGAATTTTGAAAAACTGACTTCAAATTCGTAATCAGCGACTCTGAAAACCCCCGAGTGACGAATTTTACATAAATTTAACGAATTTCAAAAAATTTATCTGCCATATTAGATTCGCCATTTTGAATTTTGAAAAACTGACTTCAAATTCGTAATCAGCGACCCTAAAAACCCCCGAGTGACGAATTTTACATAAATTTGACGAATTTCAAAAAATTTATCTGCCATATTGGATTCGCCATTTTGAATTTTGAAAAACTGACTTCAAATTCGTAATCAGCGACCCTAAAAACCCCCGAGTGACGAATTTTACATAAATTTGACGAATTTCAAAAAATTTATCTGCCATATTGGAATCGCCATTTTGAATTTTGAAAAACTGACTTCAAATTCGTAATCAGCGACTCTGAAAACCCCCGAGTGACTAGTTTCAAGTAAGTCCGACAAATTTGAAAAAAATTGTCCGCAATATTGGATCCGCCATATTGAATTTCGAAAAACTGACTTTAAATTCGTCATCAGCTACCCCAAAAACCTCCGAGTGACGAATTTTACGTAAATTTGACGAATTTCAAAAAATTATCCGCCATATTCGATCCGCCATTTTGAAGTTTGGAAAACTGACATCAAATTCGTAATTAGCGACTCAAAAAACCCCCGTGTGACTAGTTTCAAGTAAATCCGAACGATTTTTAAATTTCTAACTTTCATATTGAATCCGCCATTTTGAATTTTGAAAAACTGACTTTAAATTCGTCATCAGTCACCCCAAAAACCCCCAAGTGACGAATTTCAAGTAAATTTGACGAATTTAAAAACATCTATCAGCCATATTGGAACCGCCATTTTGAATTTCGAAAAACTGATTTTAAATTCGTAATTTTCGGCCCCAAAAGCGTCCAGATAATGAAGTTTTAATAAATTCCGTTAAATTTGAACAAATTAAGCCTCCATATTTGAGTCGCCATTTAAAATTTAAAAAAAACACATGTCAAATTCGTAATCAGCAACCCCAAAATCGACAAAGTAATGAGTTTCAAGTAAATCTGACGAATTTGTATAAATGTAACTCAAATATTTGTAATCAGCGGCCATATAAAGCATCGTGTAACAAGTTCTAAGTTAGTCTGTTGAATTTAAAAAAAATTAATTTACTATATTAAAGCCGCCATTTTGAAATTTGTAAATTTGATCTCAAATTTGTATCTCCGGATCCCAAAAATATATTTATTTTCAATTTTTCTGAAAATTATTTTAACTTAATTTGTGGGTTTTCTTACATTTTAGAGTTTTTTTTTTTAGGTTAGGACCGTTTTTTTTAGATAACGAGTAGTTTTTCCTAACATTCAAAATGGCGGCTCTGATATAGTGGATAATTTATTTAAAATTCGACAAATTTATGTAAAATTCGTCACTCGGGGGTTTTCAGGGTCGCTGATTACGAATTTGAAGTCAGTTTTTCAAAATTCAAAATGGCGAATCCAATATGGCGGATAAATATTTTCAAGTTCGTAAAATTTAGTTAAAATTCGTTACTCAGGGGTTTTCGGGGTCGCTGATTACGAATTTGAAGTTAGTTTTTCGATATTCAAAATGGCGGATTTAATATGGCCGATTTATTTTGTAAAAATCGCCAAATTTAGTTAAAATTCGTCACTTGGGGCGTTTTGGGGTCCCTAATTACGAATTTGATATAAGATTTTCAGAATTCAAATATTTTATAATTTTAATTTTCTAAAAAAAATAATTTTTTTTTGTTTTTCTTTATTTTTTTCAATTTTTCATCTACATTAATTCTTTGATACTAAATTTTTTTTTGTCAATAAATAAATTACATTAATTATAATTGTTTAATAATAAATTATAAATGTTTGCTGAATTAAATAAATTCTACATTAAATGTGAAATAATTATTATTAAATTTAAAAAAAATGTATATTATTAACTCTTATAGTTAAAATATATATATATAATTTCAAATAAACAAATTATTATCATTCAACTTTATTTTTATCGTTTTCATTCTTGTTCTCTTTGACATTATAAAATCGAGGTTCCTTTTTAATTGGAAGTAGAATTGGTGGTAAAATTATGGACAAAATTGTCACAATAATATGAAGAAAATATAATTCCCTGGAAATTAATTTTTTTGTTTAAATAGAATAAATTTTATTTAATTAAATTCATTAAATTTAATTAATTGTTATAATTAATTAATTAGTTAATTAGTTAATTAGTTAGTTAACTTAACTTAATTAGTTTATTAATTAATTTAATTGAAGTAATTAATTAATTAAAAAATAATCTAATATTTATTATTTTTTTAATTTAATTCATTCAATAAATATAAGTAAAGTAATTTATTAGTTTATTAATTAATAGAAATTGAATTAATTTAATTAATTGAAGTAATTAATTAATTAATAAAAAATTAAATCAATTAATTTAAAAATTATAATATAATTTATTAATAAAAATGAGTTCTAAAAATTATTTATAGAATTTTTTTGTTTAAAATACCTGTAAAAGTTTATCCATGAATCTTCATCGTAAGGAAGTTGAAAGAGAATAACAATAAATGAAATTGCAATTCTTGTTATTAAAATTGTTAGCAAATTATAGAAAATTTTTAAAACTTCTGATGCTAATAATAGTGGACGAACGTGTTTATGAAACTGAAATTTTTTTTTTTTTTTTTTTTTTTTTTTTATTGACAATAGTTATAAAATAATATTAATTTAGAAAAATAAAAATTTTTCTGAAAAATGATTTTTAAAAAATTATAAAATTACTTACGGAATGTTCAGCGTAAACGTACAAAGTTCCATGAAATGCAGAAATATAATAACCAATTTGAAAACCATGCCAAACGGTTGATGTTAAATATGTTGCTTCTCTTTTTAAATATGATACCCTATCATAAATGACAAATCGTAACCATCTAATTGTAGCATAGTTCCAATATTTCGAATATTCATACATGTTGGTTGCTGTCTATTTAAAATTTTCCAATTTATAATAAAATATTCAATTTTTTATTAATATTCATTATTTTTTTTTATTTGTTAAAGCAAATAAAATAAAAAAAATAGAATAAATAAAATAAAAAATAGCGCATGATTATCCCACAAAAATTAATTAAATAAAATTTTCATTACAAAAAAAAATTTTATACCCCAATAACACAAGATATCTTTGGATATATTGATAATATCCCGCAGATATCCTAGGGATGTCCTATGGATATCAAAAGGATCTCTTAAGGATATCCAAAAAAATCGGCGGTTTGGATATACTTTAGATATCCTATGGATATCTGAGGATATCCACAAGATATCAAAAGGATCTCTTAAGGATATCCAAAAAATCGGCGGTTTTGATATCCTTCGGATATCCCATGGATATCTGAGGATATCCACAGGATATCAAAAGAATCTCTTAAGTATATCCAAAAAATCGACGGTTTTGATATCCCATGGATATCTGAGGATATCCACAGGATATCAAAAGGATCTCTTAAGGATATCCAAAAAATCGGCGGTTTGGATATCCCATGGATATCTGAGGATATCCACAGGATATCAAAAGAATCTCTTAAGGATATCTAAAAAATCGGCGGTTTGGATATCCTTTGGATATCCCATGGATATCTGAGGATATCCACAGGATATCAAAAGGATATCTTAAGGATATCCAAAAAATCGGCGGTTTGGATATCCTTTGGATATCCCATAAATATCTGAGGATATCCTATGGATGTCCTGTTGATGTCCCACAGACCGGCGGTTTGGATATCCTAGGGATATCCCAAGATATCCTAGTGATATCCCAAGATATCCTAGTGATATCCCAAGATATCCTAATGATATCCCAAGATATCCTATGGATATCCTAAGATATCCTGGGGAACATTCTAGGATATCGACCATTGATATGGATATCCTGGGGATATCCTTTTGTTATGAGGGATTATATAAAAATTCTTTTTGAACAAATTTTTATGTACCGTATTTTTATTTGATTTTTTATTTATTTCATTTTACAAATTATTTCTCATTATGGAAATTTTTATTTAAAAAAAAAACAAATAATTGTGATATAAGTCAAATTTTAATTTAACAGCTAATTTTCAAGTGATTCGAATTTTTAAATGACAGAATTTCCAATTTACCAAATTTTTGTTTTATCACTGAATAAAAAATTTTTTTTTTTTTACCAAACTCGCAAATGTCTGAACGAACATAACCTTAAAGAAATAAATTTTTGGCGCGTTTTTTCAAAATTCGACCTATCAGAAATTATCAAGAAAAATTGTGATTGGTCGAATTTTAAATAATCGCGCTGAAATTTCTATTTTTAAGGTTATGTTCTTTTGGACATTTGTCGATTTCGGTCATAAATGAAAAAATTTCAGTAAATAAAAATTATGTTTTATATTAAAATTTTGTTTTTAAAATGGAAATTTTATTAAATGATAAAATTGGAAAAATTAAAATTCTTTTAAAAAAACAAAATTCTTCTAAAATAAAATTCTTCTAAAGTAAAATTCTTCTAAAATAAAATTTTTATATAAAAGAAAATTCTATTTTATTAAAATTTTTCTGAAATGAACATTCTAACTAATGAATTTTTTATCATATGGAATAAAAAAATTATTTTCTTCTAACCTCAAGTTTCCAGATATTAATATTTGTCAAAAGATCCATTTTTGGTTGATTATGTTCATCGAGACCATTTAAACCATAGCCAGCATTATTACAAATTGCATCAGCAAAAATCCACGCATAATAATAATGCAAACGTTGAATGCTCACATACATATTCATATACCAAAGTTGATATAGAAATGATGATTTTTCCATAAATTCGTTATCTACATTTTTTTTTGTTGCATTTTTTTATAACATTATTAAACAATTTAAATTTTTTGGATTTCAAAAAAAAAAATAAATAAATAAATAAGAAAATTAAAAATAAAATTTTTTTAATGCAAATTTTACTAAAAAATTTTCAAAAAATCAAAATTAATTAAAATTTTTTTTTTTTTTCAATACAAACCTGATAAATTTTTAATTTTATAAACATTAAGTACTGGATAGACTGCAATAATAGTAAGATAACCGCAAATAGCCTTTTTCAATGCCACAAAAGTTATTGTTGAATTTAATTCTTTATCGCTTATTTTTTTCTACAAAAAATTTTTATTTATAAATATATAAACATTTAATAACTAAAATTTATTAATTTACTTAATATATTAACATTTGTAATTATTTTTACTATTTAATAAATCTGAAATAATATATTATTATAAAATTTATATGTTATAATTATTAAAAAAAAAAAAAAAATACTTTACAAAAATATTTTTTGATATATTAAAAATAAATATTTTATGAATTCAAATATAGTAAAATAATAATAATATAAAAAATAATAAAAATAATAATTTATAGTTAAAATGAAAAATTGTAAAAAAAAATATATATACTTTACAAAAATATTTTTTGGTATATTAAAAATAAAAATTTTATGAATTCAAATATAGTAAAATAATAATAATATAAAAAATAATAAAAATAATAAATTATAGTTAAAATGAAAAATTGTAAAAAATTAAAATCTGAACCTGTGCCTCCTGAATTTGACGACTATAAATAAAGTCCTTATATTCATCATAAAATGTCATAGGTCCTGCCATAAGAGTTATAAAAGAGAACATATAACTATAATAATCTAATATTCTTGGTATTTCTCTAAAAACAAAAAATTTGGTAATTTTATTAAGTTAAATAATTAAATATTAATTATTAATTAATTATATATTAATTACTAAATAATTGTTTATTAATTTATTAATTATTAAATATTTATATTTATTTAATTATTAAATAATAATAATTAATTAATTAATTAATTAATTATTTTAATAATAATAATTATTCATTTATCAAAATTTGAGAGAATCAAAAAAATTTCTTTTTTTAATAAATCAATTTTACTTTACGAGTCTCTTTTTTTGTATAGGTGTTAATTCTTCTTCACGACGTGATAATCCATCGTGTAAACTGCATGCTAAACTTGACACTTTTCCGGTCATTATCATAAGAGGACCTAGTTAAAAACAAAATAATATTTAAAATCATAGAAATTATCAAAAAAAAAAAAAAATTTTTTTAAAAATCAGTAAAAAATAATATAAAAAAAAGAAATTATATAAAAAAATTTTTTAATTAATTAAAAAAAAAGAAATTATATAAAAGAATTTTTTTTTCAAAATAGAGTAAAACGAAATTCAAAAAAAAAAAAAAATTTCCCTTTTTGAAAATAAAAATTTCAATAAAAATAGTTTTAATTGCATAAGAAATTTTTTTTAATTTTGTAAATGATATTTATTTTTAAATAAAAAAAAAATTTAATTTAAAAAAAATAAATTTTTTTTTAATTGGAAAAGAATATATTTACCAGTAACGTCAAGAGTATTTGTACCATAGCTAATAACAAATTGAATGTAGAGATGAACACAAGAAAGATAAAACATAGATAAGATGAAAACCTGTCTAGATAAAATTTTAATTTAATAATTTTTTAAATGTATATTTTAAAATAAATTATATTTATCAAATTTATTTATTTAAACAATAGTATAAAAAAAAATGTCTAATTTATAAAGAAAAAAAATTGTAATCATAATGAAAAATATAAAAGAAGATCTAATTATTAATTAAACGGATTAATTTCGTAATAATAATTTTTTTAATTATTGTACATAAATAAATAAATAATAAAGAAAGCAATATTAAAAAAATAGAAAAAGAAAAAATATTAAAAATAAATAATAAAAAAAATAATTATTAAAAATTTTTTATACTTTTTTTGTACTATTTTGATTTAAATAAATAAATTTTTTTTTAGTTACAAATAAAATAATTAATAAAATAAAAAAAAATATATATATATATATATTATTATAAATAAATATTTTACATGTGTACAAATTTTGGATTTTGAGTCAATATTACAGTATACATTAATGTTGAAAATCCTGCCAGGTGGAAAGCATGTCTGTAAAAAAAAAAATTTAAACAGAAAAAATATGATAAAAATTTTTCTTATTGAAAAATGATTAAGAAATTTTTTTTTTTTTTTTGAAAAAAAAAATAATTTTACTATATATATAAATTAACGTCATTAGAGAGAATTAAAATAAAATATCTTACTTGCCATAACAAAAGTAACTGAAAATTATTCCAATAATAATACTAAAAATATGACGTGTTGTTGTTGATACTTTGTCACTGCTTAATGATGTTCTTAAAAAACCAGCGAGTACAAAAGAAACTAAATAAACTATCATAAAATTTAGCTGAAATTAAAAAAAAAAACAATTTTTATTTATTTTACAATTTTAGAAAAACCACTTTTTTTTATTTGTTATAAATAATTTATTTATTATTTATTTATTATTATTTATTTATTTATTAACAATGGAAAATTTAAATCTTAGTAATAATTGTTAATTAATAATTGAAATAAATTTTTAAAAAATAAATTGACAAATAAATTTAAAACATAAATAAATTAAATTGTAAAATAATTAATTATATAAGAAAATACATTTTTAAATTGTTTATAACAAATTTTTAAACAATTACTACTTTAGGCAATTGCGTTAATAAAAAAGCGATTTATAAAATTATAATTAAAATTTTTATAAAAATCTTTTTTTTAACAAAAAAAATATTTTTTTTATATTGTTTAAACAAATTTGTCAACAAATATGGTTTTATTTATTTAATTTTAAAAGGTGGTATTTCTCAATTAAATTATTTATAGAAATAATTATAAAAATTTTTGTACAACTTATATTGTTATTTAAAACATTATTTTATATATTGTTTAAACAAAATTTTTTATTGTTTTGTAATTTAAAGTATATTTATGTAATATTCTTCGGTACAAATAAAAAAAAATAAAAAAAAATAGAAATTAAATTTATTTATTTATATATTTATTTAGTAGGAGCAAAACAAAATATGTTCATTCGTAAAAATTTTACAAATTTTTGTAAATAATTTTACTAAAATAATTAAAACCTTTAAAATTAAATAAACAAATTTAATTTATTATTTGTTTATCAATTTTTTTTATAAACAATTAGAAATTTGTATTTTATTGTTTAAATTACTAATTTATTAATTTAATTCTACTTATTACTTACAAAAAATTGAGATTTATGCTGAATAATTATTTTTAAAAAAATTATAAGTGTAATATATTATTAATAAATTGTTTATATAATTATTTTTGCAATTAATTAAAAAATAAAATTTACAATAAATTGTTTATAAAAAATAAAATTTTTTTTATTCTTTTTTATTTTATTAAAAATATTTTAAAAAAAATTTTTTTTAAATAATTTAAACAAAATTTTAAAAAATGAAAAAAGGATTAAAAAAAATAAAAGGATAATTAAAATTACCTTATCTAATGCAATTCCAGTGGAATTGGACAGTCCAACGAAAAGTCTTGAACCCTCAAAATCATTTTGATCTTTAATTTCCAACAACATATTTTTGCAATATAAAAAAAATTATATTGAAATATATATCAAGTTTTTTTTTACAAGACTGACTAACTTGTTTCATAGAAAATATATAACACGTTACCTTTTCTTTTGTTTCTACATTTACGTTATCAATTGTTGTATATAGATAACAAAAAAAAGTGGGAATAAACATGTGCGAATAAAAAATTTAACAAAATATTTTGAAAAATATTTTAAATACTAAAAAAAACAATTAAAAATATTAACAAATTTATTTAGTTGCAAGAAAACGGATCTATTATTAAAAAAAAAATTAATAATTAATAATTAATTTGTCAATAATATTTTTATGTATAATAATATTAATTAAAAATATTTGATAATTATATTTAAGAGGAAAAAAAATAAACAAATTTAATAGAATTATTTTTTTTTTTTTTGTTTTTTTTTATTATTACATTACGTATAACGTTGTCGGGTACAAAAAATTGTTTTTTTTTTAATTATAGACAAAAAAATTTATTCTGACCTGTCAGAAAGATTATTATTATTATTACACATATTTCTAATCTTCTCGCCCCAATCCTTTCAAAACTAAAGAAAAAAAAAAGAATTCAAATAAAATAAATTTATTAAAATTTTATGAATAACAAATTTTTTTTTTATCAATTTGATTTCTTATTAATTCGATTTTAACAAAATTTCTTTAAATCTCTAAATAAACTTTTTGAAAAAATAATTTAAAAAAATTAATATTTTGTAAAAAATTAAAAAAAACATTTATAAAGTAAATTAAGCAAACAATTTTTTAATTTAAACACTATATTTTGAAATAAAAATATTAAAACATTTATTTTATTTGTTAAAATTGTCAATAAAAATTATTAAAATTAATCGAAATTAAAAAAAAAACGTTTGATAAAAATTTCACAAAATTTTAATTAAAAAAAATTTCGTCACAATACAAATTAAAAAAAATTTTTTTTTCAATTTGAATTGAATTTTTTTCTTCTTTTCCAATATTAATTATTATTATTATTATTATTATCTAACTACAATTTGAAAAAATATAATTTTTTTTTTAAAATTCAATTCAAAGTATATATAAAAATTAAAAAATTTTGTTAAAAATATTAATAAAAAACGAAATAAGATATTTTTTTTTTCGTTAAAATTTAAAAAAAGAAAAATATTTGATTTTCTCCGTTACAAAATGCGAAAGTAAAATTTGTATGAAAAAAAATATATATATATTTAAAAAAGAATATTAAGTTGAGGTAAAAGTTGTGCGATTCAATATAGAGGAAAAATCTATTTTTCCCAGAGTCTGAAAAAATCTCACTTATTAATGATTTTTCTTTTTCTTTTTTTTTTTGTCGAATCGTAATGATACGAAACGCTTTTGTAAAATATAAATAACATTATAATCGACTAATTATTTTTCTTTTTTTTTTCCTTTCAATAATCTGTACCATTTTGACGGTATAACATTCATATCGTGATTTGCATTATGAAAAAATATTTCTCAAAAAATATTTTTAACTTTCGTACTTTTATAATAAATAAAAAAACCCTCACAATCGAGATGAAAAAATCTCTTTGTCTCTCACTCTTATACACACAGACAGATACAAACAATTTTTTTCTTCTTTCTGATTTTTTTTTTTTTTTTTTTTTTCTTTTCTGTAATCAATCACTCAACTTTGTGCGCGTGTCCATTTGTCGGTACATGTCCATTACTCGACTCAGTCTTGGAAGTTTGTGATTTTTGCTTCGAAAGAGGCAGAATTACCGGCAGAAAAAGAATTCCGGTCAATCCCAAAATATTCGGGAAAAGGTACAAATGCCTGAAAAAGGAAAAAAATTCATTAAAATAAATTTATTCTAATACGCACATCGCTGCGTTTGATTCGCACTTTTTATTTATTTTTTATTTTGAAAACAACAAATTTTTTTCGAAAAGTGTAAAGAACTTTTTTTTCTTATCTTTTTATGCTCTATTTGATGTTAAAAAATGTTCGCGAGCGAGTAGGACACTGTTTAGTATAGAGAAATGAAAATTTAAGAAAAGTAATGAAAGCAATGCGCACCAAAAAGTCTTTTAGTATATAGCAAAGACAAATGACAACTCTGAAATATAAATAAAAGCAATGCGCACCGACTACTTTGATGAAAACTATATTTTATAGCGAAGACAATTGACAACTCTAGAATATCAATGAAAGCAATGCGCACCGATTATTTTGAAAAAATTTCAAATTATATAGCAAAAACAAATGACAACTCTAGGAAAGTAATGAAACCAATGAGCACCGAAAAGACTTAGCTTTATAGCAAAGACAAGTGACAACTCAAAAATGAAAGCAATGCGCACCAAAAAGTCTTTTAGTATATAGCAAAGACAAATGACAACTCTGAAATATTAACAAAAGCAATGCGCACCGACTGCTTTGAAGAAAACTATATTTTTTTTAGCGAAGACAATTGTCAACTCTATAATATCAATGAAAGCAATGCGCACCGATTATTTTGAAAAAATTTCAAACTATATAGCAAAGACAAATGACAACTCTGAAATATTAACAACAGCAATGCGCACCGACTACTTTGAAGAAAACGATATTTTATAGCAAGGACAATTGACAACTCTATAATATCAATGAACGTAATGCGCACCGATCATTTTGAAAAAATTTCAAATTATATAGCAAAAACAGACAATTCTAGAAAATTAATGTAACCTATGCGCAACGAAAAGTCTTTTAGCTTATAGCAAAGACAAGTGACAACTCAAAAATGAAAGTAATGCGCACCAAAAAGTCTTTTAGCATATAGCAAAGACAAGTGACAACTCAAAAATAAAAGTAATGCGCACCGACTATTAAAAAGAAAAATTATATGGCAAATACAAGTGCCAACTCTAGAATATTATCGAAAGCAATGCACACCAAGAGGTGAAAAATTTTTATTTATAGCAAAACCAGTGACAACTCTAAAATATAAATGAAAATCAATGCGCACCGACCATATCAAAAAAAATGTCATTATATACCAAAAAAGAAGTGACAACTCTAGGAAATTAATGAAACCAATGCGCACTGAAAAGTCTTAGCATATAGCAAAAACAAATGACAACTCTGAAATAAAAATAATGCGCACCGTACTATCAAAAAAAAAAAAAATTAATTAATTATATTGCAAAGATAAGTGACGACTCTAGAATATTAACATGAACAATGCGGAAATAATTTCTAATACAAGACTGAAATAATTTCTATCACACAACAATGGCAAGTGACAACTCTACAATATCAATAGAAGCAATACGCATCAAAAGGACTGGCAAATTTTTTTTTCATGTCGAAATGATAAATGACTTTATATTTGATGAGACAATTGCCAATTTCGCTGAAAATGGTCGTTTTGAAAAATAATTTTGAAAACATCTTTTTATGAAATTGGGCATAATTTGGAGATTTCCCTTATTCTAATCAATGTAAATGACCATTGCTCGCGATACACTTTTTTTTACGATTTGGTACTATGTAAGCACAGCATTGTCACGGGTCGGAGTCTAAGACCAAATGGCCCTTATGTGACAAGCGCTTTTTGGCGTTTAAGTATATATTTTTTCATTTTGAAATTATTTTTTAGCTCGATTTCGAGCGAGTGTAAAAATTCTTTGTTTTTAACTGCAAACGGCTCATTAATACAGTTATAGCTGTTTGCACACGTTATAACACCGGCGATGAATTTTTCAAATGTCTGCATTATCAACTGCCGTTAATAGATTCTGTACCTATCAATTTTTGTATTCCTCATTTACAACTGTGGATAGGAACAGAATATTCCGCTAAATACTTTTTGTAAGAAAAAATTAATATAAGAAACAAAATCTTTTGCTAAATATATTTTGTAAGAAAAAATTAATATAATTTAGTAGAGACTAAAATAATATACTTACAGGTACATTGTGATACTTGGTTTTAATTCCAAGAGAACGAAAGTGAAAGTTGTGTACGTTAATACGACTTTCGTTGTCAAAAATGTCATGAAATCGTAAAATAATTTGGCTTTTTTCGAAATTAGGAAGTGAGGTCGTACATGGCGTCGAACCTAAATGGATAAAGAAAAGCAGAATTAAAAAACAATTTCTAAAATTATTTTTAAATATTTTGATTTTACAACAAAATTACTGTATTTTTAACAAAGGATTTAGAAAATCAATTTGTAAATAGGAATTTTAAGGTATTAAAATAGTAAAATATTTTTCTTACGATTCGTGAAGCGTATGTGAAAAACGATCCGTTGGCGAATGTGAGGTAGTAACCTGGATGAAATCCGTGCCATAAGGCAGACAAGGCATATGTGTAAACTGTTTTATTTCGAGGCACTCTTTCATAAACCAACGATCTTAGCCATCGATTTGTTCCCTTGTTCCAGGCTTCGATACTATCCCTAAGACTAAGAGCAGTCTGAAAAAGATTTAATTTTTTTTTAATTTCTCAAAATTAATTAGTATTGTGGTTCTATTTTTTATTTTTTTATTATTTAAATTATGATTTTTATGTAGGCGCTTTGATTTAAATAATTATTTTCTTATTTTTTTTGTATATGAGAGAATTAATATTACCTCAAATTTAAAGGCGTCAACATTGGAAACTTTGTCCCAACGTGATTGATGATTTTCATCATATCCATTAAAGCCAAGACCTGAATTATTGCAAATTGCGTCAGCAAATATCCAGGCATGATAATACTTAAAGCGAACCAACATTGTGGCTATTGTCAGGTACCAAAATTTATAAATTATCGAAGTTTTTTCCAGGAACTCATCATCTGTAAATTTTTATTTTTTCAAAATTTTTAAATATAAAATTAAAAATTTATTTTTAACTTCAAGAAAAATATTAAAATATTAAAAAAATATTTTTTAATGTTAACGTAAATTAAAAATTTATTTTTTCTCCAAGAAAAATATTAAAATATAAAAAAATATTTTTTAATGTTAACGTAAATTTCCTTGAATGAAAAATTAATAAAACAGAAAAATTTATAAAGAAAAAAAAACGGAAAAAAGAATTACAAACCTTTGACTTTTACTACCGAATACGATGGAATGAAAGTGACGAATACAAATGCAAAGAAGAGACTAGTGATGACTTTTTTTACAACAACTGATGCTGGCGATGGTTCAAGAACAATTTCATTCGATGTTTTTTCGCCGTAACCCTAAAAAAGTAGAAAAAAATTATATTTTTTGTATTGAGCGAATAAAAATTGTATTTAAAAAAGGTAAAAAAATATTTACTGTAAGTGATTTCGCTTCCAAGATCCGTTGACCGTGAATGAAATCAATGTAATCATGATATAAAATTATAGGTCCTGCCATTATTGCTTGGAAATGAAAAACGTAGCTAAAATATTCAAGCAACGTTGGCATTTTTCTAAAAAGGAAAATAAAATTTATTATTATTAAATTATACTATATTTAGTAATTAAGATAAATAATTTGTTGGATTTTTTTTTAAATTCACTAACTAGAAATAATTATTTCTTTAAGTATAATTATTTATTCTTTTGACGATACAAATTAATTTGGTTCTTTAATTAATTATTATTAATTAAACAATCGTTGGCTTTTTATTTTTAAATTCAGTGGAAATAATTATTGAATAATTATAATAATTTTTTTTTTGACAATACTATTAATTAATTAAATTAGTTTGATTTCTTTAATTATAAAAATTAATTTCAATACAATTTGGTTCATTTTTTCAAAATTGAAAATTATCCTTTATATCCATTAAAAAAAATGGAATTAAATTTAAAAAAAAATATTGAAAAAAAAAATTTGAAAACTAATTGAAATTAATTTACCGAACTGCTTGATGGCGTTGTGAGGGTGTCAAATCTTCATCCATGCGGCTCAATCCATCGTGAATACTGTAAGCGAGACTCGTCACCTTTTGAGTGATTACCATGAGAGGACCTGGAAATAATAATTGAGGTAGATTTAATTAAAATGCCAAATGACGCAATTAATCCTCTTGAAAATTAGAATTCATTATTATCTACGAGATTTTATTTTTTTTTTACTTCATCTTCTTTTTGGAAAAATGTAGTGATCAGTAAATTCTATAATTCAGTTAAATAAATTTTTTTTTCATTTTAAATATTAATTAAAAAAAAAAAAATATTTCAAAAAATAATTTTAATTATAAAAAAAAATTTTTTTTAATCAATTATTTTTAATTTAAATTATAAAATTTTTTTTGAATTCATTTTAATTTAAAAAAAATAATTTTAAAATTATTTTTAATTTTAATTAAAATTTTCTTTTAAATATAAAATTTTTAATTTTGTATTTTAATCATCGTTTAAAAAGTTTTTAAATATTAACGTAAAATATGAAATAAGAATTATTATTTAATTACCAGTAATGTCGAGTGTGTGACTCCCACCATTATAAAATTGTCGATGTAAATGAATGCAGGAAAGATAACTCAATGCAATGACAAGTACAAGTCTAGAAATGAATTATAAGTATTATTTTTTAGATTTGATAAAAAAAATTAGTAATTATAAATATTCTCTCTTTTTTTTATCCCTGTCTTAATTTTATAATTTCTTTTTTTTATCATTTCTCAACTTTTATTTTGGAATTAAATAATATTAATTTATTTTTTAGAAATAAATAAAAAAGGAAATAGTTTTCGAAAATAAAATAAAAAATACTTTATCGTCAATATTATTAAAATAATAAAAAATAAAATAAAAAAAATTATAAAAAATAAAAAAAAAAATTATAAATAATTTCAGTTCTCACCTTTGCATTACTTTTGGATCCTGAGTTCTCATTACTATGTAACATATTGCTGGGAGTCCTGCCAAATGAATCGCGTGCCTGTAAAATAAATTTTGTTTAATTAATTATTATATAAAAAATAAAATAATTAAAAAATATTTTATTTTTAAATATAATGAATATATTTAAACAGTTTTGAAAATTGATGATTAAATTAAAAAAAAAAAATAACATTAATTATTTAATACATAAATTAAATGTAAATAAATTTAAATAATTTACATAAAAATTATAAGTATGAATAATTATTATACAGGGTTCAATGTATTTATGCGATGATAAAATTACAATATTACGATTAAAAAAAAAAAAAAAAAAATAGAAATATGAAAAAAAATTCTGATATGCATATATTTTTAGATAATGAAATATATATATAAGAATGAAATTATTGAATTAATATTGCGATCAATTTAGAAAATAAGAAGCTTACTTGCCGAAATTGAAGTAACCGAGGGCAAGTCCAAAAATAAGAACAAATGCATGTCTTAAGGCTGGTGAAGTTACTTTTGGATTTAATGATGACCTTAAAATTCCAGCCAATCCCAATGCAATAAATTGTGTTATCAAAAAATTCACCTGTAAATGAATTGAAATTTTTTTTTATTTTATCTAAAAATAATAAACAAAAAAAAAATTTCTGATACTAACAAATTGTTTATAATAAATTATAAAAATATTTTTAAAAGAACTCTTAAACAAAAATTTATTTAAAAAACGAGCAAGTTTTAGAAAAATTAAAAAAAAAATATATAAATAAAAAAAAAAAATTTCTGATACTAACAAATTGTTTATAATAAATTATAAAAATATTTTTAAAAGAACTCTTAAACAAAAATTTATTTAAACGAGCAAGTTTTAGAAAAATTAAAAAAAAATATATAAAATATTAAGTTAACAAATTTCGAAAAACGACACCGACCCCGTGACCTCGACACCGTCCTTAAAAAATCTATTTTCAATTATTTTCAAATAAATCAAAATACTTTGCATATATGCTTTTAGAAAATCTTACAAACTATTTTTATGTAACATCTTTTTGCAATTTTAACCCGAAAAAGGGTTATTTTGCAATTTTATCCCAAAAAAGGGTTATTTTGCAATTTTTTAAGAATTTTTTGATTTTTTCAATTTTTTATTATTTATTGTTGTTTTTTCAATTTTTAGTTAGTAACCTATAATATTGTGTCTAATTTTAAGTGTCATTAAAATCAAATGTTTTTAACTTAATAATTTTAACATTTCTTAATTTAAAACGAAACATCTTCTATTATATTAAGTTAACAAATTTCGAAAAACGACACCGACCCCGTGACCTCGACACCGTCCTTGAAAAATCTATTTTCAATTATTTTCAAATAAATTAAAATACTTTGCATATATGCTTTTAGAAAATCTTACAAACTATTTTTATGTAACATCTTTTTTCAATTTTAAGATAAATTTTATACAATATTAATAAGATATTTATTAAAAACATAAATTATAAATATAATATACATAAACTACAATAAGTAAACAACAATAAGTACAATTTTAACCGAGCGAGCGTTAGCAAGCGAGGAATAGATCGCTAGTATATATAAATTAAAAAAAAATAATTTATTAGATAAAAAATTTTTTTTTATTTATATTTTTGATACTCTCTCAAATAAATAATTAAAAAATATATATGTAAAAAAATAAAAAAAAGTAATAATAATAATAATAATGAAAATAAATAAGTTAAAAAAAATTATTTATAAATAAATTGCTTCAGACATTTCATTAAAAACGATAATTATATTTAAAAATCAATAAAATTGTGTTTAGCGATAAGGCGTGAACCTACATATATATGTTAAGAAAAATATAATATATGAGATTAAGTAGCAAAACTTGTAATTGAAACTCATTGACTGACAGTTACTCGTTTTTTTTTTCCTCCCGCGGGTATGTCCCGTAATATTATTCATAACATCTGTTCAGAAGAATAAAAAGAAATAAAAGAATATTAAACATACAGATAAACTATATATAAACGAGAGAAATTATAGTTCTTCCCCGTGTTCGTTGATGACGTGTTTCTCAAAGTGGGAAAATCTCTTTAATGTTAAAGTGACGATTTTATATAAAAGTAGCCAAACATCTCAACGTTCATTCATTCAGTTCCAAATCTTCCCAACAGAAAGGTAAGAAAAAATAATAATTTATTTATTTCTTTTTCTATTTTCAAAAATTAAAAAAAAATAATAATAATTAATAATAAAAATTAAATTAAAAAATAAAATTAATAATTAATAATAAAAATTAAATTAAAAAATAAAATTACTGAACTGATTGTTTTTATATTGACAAAAAAATTCATTGTAATTTAATTAAAAATTTTGGTAGAAAAATACTGAAAAATTCGTTAAAAGTAATATTTTGATATGAGTGTCCGTGTGGCTTGGGTGAATATGTTCTTGATTTCTACGTGAGCGGCGCGGGTTCGATTCTTCCCGCCTGAGATAATTTTTCACATCGAAATTTTCATTCTATTATATCTGTTATTAATATAATTATAAATTGTAGTAATAAAATTAATAATTATTAATATTTATAAAAAAAATTAATAATTATTACTAATAATATAATAGTGTAAAAACAATATCAAAAATTTAAATTATATATTATTTTAGGTTATCGTTTTAGAAAAAAAAAACAAAAAAAAATGAAGGGTCAACTCGCCGTCGCCATTGCAATTTGCTTTTTTGCATTTGCTTCTGGATATAGAAGGCCTAAAGACTGGACCAAAGATTTTCCTCCAAGTTCCACTGGTCCCTATAATCCTCAACCACCAAGAGATGTGGTAAGAAAATTCGGATTATAAACAAAAAAAAAATTAATTATAAAAAAAATTTAATTAATTTTTATGATTTTAATTATATTAATAAATTGAGGTTTTTTAAAAAAAAAATTTACAAAAATTAAACAAAAAAATTTTTCAAAAAATTTTTGAAAAAATAAAAAAATTGATCTAAAACTTTTATTTATTAAAAAATAATTAGATGTAAAATAAAATTAAATTGTGGAAAAATAATAAAAAAGTAAAAAAAAATTAATTTCTCAATATTTAAGAAATTTAAAAGTAAATTTTTTTTTTTTTCATTTTAGCTTCGATTCAGACGATACGCCGATCCTCAAGGATCAATAACACTTGAAGGAACGAAACCACTGAGTGGTCCTGATCGTCGTCCATCTGTTAATTTAGATTACAATCACAATCTTTTAAATAATGGTCGCACCAACGTTGATGCTTTTGGTAAGAAATAAAAAAAAAATTTTTGTTTTTAATTTTTTTGCATTATTTATAAAAAAAAATATAGAAAAAAAATTAAACAATAAATTAAATAATAAAATAAATAATTATTTTTTGGTACATAAATTAAATAAAAAAAATAAATTAATTAATAAAAAAAAGAAAATAAATAAATAATAAAAAAAAAATTTTTGTTTTTAATTTTTTTGCATTATTTATAAAAAAAAATATAGAAAAAAAATTAAACAATAAATTAAATAATAAAATAAATAATTATTTTTTGGTACATAAATTAAATAAAAAAAATAAATTAATTAATAAAAAAAAGAAAATAAATAAATAATAAAAAAAAAATTTTTTTTAAAGTTTTGCATTATTTAAAAAAAAAATAGAAAAAAAATTAAACAATAAATTAAATAATAAAATAAATAATTATTTTTTGGTAAATAAATTAAATAAATTTTTATGTAAATAAATTAATTAATAAAAAAATAAAAATAAAATAATAAAAAAAAATTTTTTTAAATAGGAGGAGCTAACTGGAGACAAGGTGGTCCAGTTGTTCCACAAGGTGGAGTAAAATTCAATCATAATTTTGGACGCAATGGAAATGGATTTGTTGGAGGATTTGGACAAGTTCAACCTGGTCCTCGTGGTGGAGTATCGCCAAGCTTTGGAATTGGTGGTGGTTATAGATTTAGACGTGACATTCAATTCGAAGACAATGAAGAAATTTTAGAATCTCAAGAAAATTTAGAAGAGTAAAAAAAAAAATTTTTTTTCTCAATTGAAATCGCAAAAAAATTATTTATAATAATAATTACACTGAAAGTAAAAATAAATTTTTATTTGATTAAAAATAATCGATTATTTAACTATTAGCAAATAAATATTTATTTAGATCCATAAAATATTTATTTGATTCAAATAAATATTTATTTGATTTAAATAAATATTCATTTATGGTTCAAATAAATATTTATTTGTTAATAGCCAAGAAATCGATTATTTGAAATAAATAAATTTTTTTTTTTCTTATTTTTTTGTGTATTAATTAAAAAGAAAAGCGAACAATTTTTAAAGACTTTATAGTGATGCATTTGTACTTGAAATAATTTATATTTAATATGTAAATAATTTATAAAATTGAACTATAAGTTTAATGTAATTGTTTTTATGAAAAAAAAAAAATTGTATGCAAAAATATTTTTAAACAACGAGTATTATAACAAGAAAGAATAAAAAATTTTAAATAATAATTTAATAAAAAAAAAATAATAATTCAAAATTAATTTGTATTTATTTACAATGAACTTTTAGTTTTTATGAAATAAAAGTTTTTAATTCAACAGAAATGTTTCAAATTAAAATTAAGATTTAAAAAAAGATTTCACAAAAAATTCCCTACAATTAAAAAAAAAATATTTTATAAAAAAAAATAATAAAAAATAAAATTTTAAATATTTTTTATTAAAAATATTTTAATAACAATAATAATAATAATAAATTAATTAATTAATTAATTATAATTGGACCAACAGATTTTGAGCAAGACTATAAAATAAATTTCATATTTTTGAAAAAATTCTCAATCAATTTTCAAAAATTAAAATTTTACAGAAATCTTTTTATATGAATTTTTTACTCAACAAAATTTTTAGGTACCGAATTTTAATTTTGGGCAGAATTTTTATTTTACTGTCATTTAATTTACATGACTTTTTATTTCAGAGAATTTTTATTTAACAGAATTTTCATTTAATCGAATTTTATTTGATTCGAATTTTTAAATGACAAAAATTCAAATTCACCGAATTTTAATTTGTCTGAATTTTTATTTTTTCAAATTTTTAAGACACCAAATTTTCATTTTCCCGAATTTTTAATTGATCGAATTTTTAAGACGCCGAATTTTCTCTTTTATTCAAAATTACAAAATTATTTTTTTGAAAATTGACCAATCACAGTTTTCCTGATAATTTCTAATTGGTGAAAATTTTTTTAAAATTGCGCCGAAATCCTTTCTGTTCGATTGTTTGTTCGGTCAATTTATAATTTCGGACAAATGAAAATTTGGCGTCTTAAAAATTTTCGCAATTAAAAATTCGCATACATAAAAAATTCAGACATTGTTAATATTTATGACAGTATTAATATATAAATGATACCGATTTTCTCAATTTTGTTTTAAATCTTTCAACGAAAAGGTAGCATATAAAAATTATTTTCTTTTTCGAAAGTCATTAAATTATTATTGATATATAAAAATAAATTACTGAACAATATTTATTAAAATTTGAAAAATTAATAATAATTTTATCAAAATTTAATAGAAAATTACTAAATAATTCGTTAATTTTTGATAATTTTATATGATCATCCGTGTGGCTGAGATGCTAAGGTTTTTGATTTCTACGTGAGCGGTGCGGGTTCGATTCTTCCCGCCTCAGATAATTTTTCATCTTGAAATATTTGTCCATTTTATTCATTATTAATAATTGTAGTAATAATTATAATAATAATAATAATAATAATAATAATAAAAATAATTATTAATAATTATAATAATGAAATTAATAACATAATAGTACATTTTTACAGTATAAAAAAATAAAAAATTATATATTATTTTAGATTATTGTTAAAAAAATTTTAAAAATGAAAAAATAAACTCGTTGCTACCATTGAAAATTTGCTTATTTGCATTTGCATCTGGAAAAGTAAGTAAATTAAAAAAAATCTAAACGAATCAAAAAAAGAAAAAAATTATAAAAAAAAAATTTTAATTAAAAAATAAAAAATTTTTATTTTTTTTTGTATTATTTTTTTTCTTTTATTTTATTTAATTTTTTTTTCTTTTAAATCATGATTAAATTAAAAAAAAAAAGATTGTATTTAAGCTTCGATTAAGACGACATGCTGATCCTCAAGGATCAATCAGACTCGTTTATTTTAATTTATATTTAATATTAAAAATAATTTTTTATTTATATACAATTAATAATAATAATTATTATTATTATTATTTTTTTATTTATTAATTTTAATAAAATGCAAATTTTTACTGCAATCGAAATATATTTTAATTTAAATAAATTCACATTTAATTTGTAATAACGTCTCTCTGTATTTAATTAATTGTGTAGAAATTGAAAATAAATAAACTTTTCGAAAAAATTTAAAGCAAACAAATTATTAAAAACTAATTTACTTTCTTTTTTAATTTATATATTAAAAAAAAATTTATTTGATTCAAATAAATATATTTGTTTGAACAAAAAAAAAATATTTATTTGATACAAATAAATATTTCTATGATACAATTAAATATTTATATATGATACAGATAAATATTTTTATGATACAATTAAATATTTATATGATACAAATAAATATTTATATATGATACAAATTAAAAAAAAAAAAACCAAAAAAAATATATATATAGAAAATAAAAATTATCATCAAAATTAATTGGTTCACAGAATTAAATGAACGATATTTTATTTAGAAATGAATGAAAGATTATTTCGAGATAAGTCTCGCGAATCTATAATAAGAAAAAAATAATAATACACGCGCGATTGTAGGAAGCAAAACTTATGTATATAATTGAAACTCATTGACTGATGGGTTAGTTAATTTTTTTTTTCCTTACTCGGTTATGTCCCGCAATATTATTCATTAAACATTTTGCTGAGAAAAATTAAAAAAAAAAAAAAAAATTCTTTCCGATAACCTCTGAGAGAAATTATAGTTCTTCCCCGTGTTCGCCGATGACGTGACTCATTGAGTGAGATTCTTAATAGTTGTCAGGATTCATATAAAAGATGCTGTGCATCTCAACGATAATATTCAGTTCCGAATCTTCCAACAGAAAGGTAAGAAAATATATAAAAATATTATTATTAATTTCTTTTTCAATTTTCGAAAATTAAATTAAAATTGTATTAAAATTAATTGTAAATTAATTTTAAATTAATTTTAAATTATATAAAAATTACTGAACCGATTAATTAAATAGTAGAAAAAAAATTCATTATAATTTTATCAACATTTGATTAGAAAATAACTGAAAAATTCATTAAAACTAACTTTTTTGAGTTGAGAGTATCTGTGGCTTAGATGCTAAGGTTCTTGATTTTTACGTGAGCGGCGCGGGTTCGATTCTTCCCGGCTATAATTATTTTTCAATTTTGAAATTTTTATTCTATCTTATCTATTATTAATATCGCATTAAATATAGTGAATTTTTAACAATATAAATAATAATTATTAATTATATAATTATTTGTTTAAAAAAATTATTAATGGATTTTTTCACCATTTTCACTGTAGTAAAAAAATTTAGTTTACTTATAATTCACTAAATTATTATTTCAGATTTTATCCTCAGAAAAAAAAATTAAAAAAAAAAAATGAAAAATCAACTCGTCGTTGCCATTGCAATTTGCTTCTTTGCATTTGCATCTGGATTTAAACTCCCTCAAGATTGGACGACCAAAGAGGAACTTCTCCCAAGATCCACTGGTCCCTATGCTCCCTATAAGCCAAAGGAATGGGTAAGAAAATTTTAATCACAAAAAAAGAAGAAAATTTTGAATTTATGAAAAATAAAAGTTAAAAATAATAATAAATAAAAAAAAATAATAAATAATAATTATTATTATAAATTATAAATAATATGATATATCTTAAAAAAAATTGAATATTTAAATTAATTGAAAAAAAATAAAATGAATTAATTAAAAAAATTAGATTAGAAAAAAAATTAAAAAAAAAAAAATCTTTTAGCTTCGAATTAGACGACACGCCGATCCTCAAGGATCATTAACTCTCGAAGGAATGAAACCCCTAAGTGGTCCTGATCAACGTTTAAATCTTAATTTAGATTACAATCAAAGACTCCTTAATAATGGTCGCACCACCGCTGATGCTTATGGTAAGAAATATTTTTTATTTTATTGTATAATTATGGTATAAAAATTTTTTTTTTCCTTTCAATAGAACCTCTATAAAAGGTTGTTGTGAAGTATTTTTTTTTAGAGTTACACAAGTCCCTCGATAAAGAATGAGATTGAAATTTTTAATTAGTTACAGTCAAACCTCGAATAATGGTAATTTTAAATTAATTTTTACTCAATTGTTAATTAATTTTTAATAAACTATATTAAATATTTAATTTAAAATTTACTATTAACGTCCCACTTATCCCGAGTCTACTGTATTTACAAAAAAATTTCAAAATTTAACATTGATCAAGAAGTCGTTTTATATTGAAACATCGTCACTTGTGGAGGGATCAAGTCGCTTCAAATTTAGAGATGTCCCACTTATTGAGGGTCAATTGTATTTTCCTACCTTTATTATATTTCAAAATTAATATTTATTGAGAAGGTTCTTAATTAAAAAATATCTTTACTTATAGAGGGATTGTAACTTTTTAAATTTAAAAATGTCCCACTTAACAAGGGTCAACTGTATTTTCTTCAAATTTTTGTATTTCAAATTTAATATTTATTTAAAATTCTTTTAATTTAGAGGCCCTTACTTATTGAGAGAATGTATTTTCTTAAATTTAAAAATTCTCCACTTATCGAGGGTGTACTGTAACTGTTTTATATTTAAAAACTAGACTAGAATTTGCTTTAAAATTAAAAATAGTCTGGGATATTATCGAAGTACTGTATTCGCACTTAAATTTAAAATTGTCTTACTTATCGAGGGTCTACTGTATTAACTAAAATTAAAAAGTTAATATTTATCATAAAGTCCTTTAATTAAAATATCGTTACTTATCAAGGGACTGTATCCTCTTAAATTTGAAAATGTCCCACTTATCGAGGGTTTACTGTATTTTACTACCTTTTTATATTTCAAACTTCACATTTATCGAGAAGGCATTTAATTAAAATATCGTCAGTTATCGAAGGACTGTAGGTTCTTAAATTTGAAAATGTCCCACTTAACGAGGGTCTAGTGTACTTTCTTTACTTTTTTGTATTTCAAACTTAACATTTCTTTAAAATTCTTTTAATTTAAAGTTCGTTACTTATCAAGGGACTGTATCCTCTTAAATTTGAAAATGTCCCACTTAACGAGGGTCTAGTGTACTTTCTTTACTTTTTTGTATTTCAAACTTAACATTTCTTTAAAATTCTTTTAATTTAAAGTTCGTTACTTATCAAAGGACTGTATC